TCTCAGAAGGAAACCGATGGATTGCCTACTCCAGGTAGGGAATGTGTCCTTACCCCAAGTGAAGGAGTTCACGTACCTTGGGGTCTTGTTTACGAGTGAGGGGAAGATGGAGTGTGAGTTTGGCCGGAGAATCGGAGCTGCGGAGGCGGTATTGCACTCGCTTTACCGCACCGTTGTGACGAAAAGAGAGCTGAGCCGGAAGGCAAAGCTCTCGATCTACCGGTCAATCTTCGTTCCTACCCTCACCTATGGTCATGAAGAATGTGTCATGACCGAAAGAACTAGGTCACGGGTACAAGCGGCCGAAACGGGTTTCCTCAGGAGAGTGGCTGGCGTCTCCCTTAGGGATAGGGTGAGAAGCTCAGCCATTCGCGAGGAGCTCGGAGTAGAGCCGCTGCTCCTTTGCGTCGAAAGGAGCCAGTTGAGGTGGTTTGGGCATCTGGTGAGGATGCCCCCTGGGCGCCTCCCTAGGGAGGCGTTCCAGGCACGGCCAACTGGGAAGAGGCCCCGGGGATGACCCAGGACTAGGTGGAGAGATTGTATCTCTGCACTGGCCTGGGAATGCCTTGGGACCCCCCAGTCAGAGCTGGTAAATGTGGCCCAGGAAAGGGAAGTTTGGGGTCCCCTGCTGGAGCTGTTGCCCCGGCGACCCGACCCCGGATAAGCGGTTGAAAATGGATGGATGGATGTTTTTGAAAATTAAAAAATAAATCCACTTTAATTTATATTTTTGACTTTAATTGTGCATTTTAACCTATACTTTTGCTGTTGCATATTTATTTTCAAATTTTGAATATTGTCAACCACAAAGCAGAGTTGGCTTTTCCATTGTCAGGGAGGTGAAAACACCGTTGCATTTTCAATGTAATATATTCTGTCAAAATGCTCCACTGTCGGTGTGTGCTGACTCATTTTTTATTTTTTTTCTCACCTTTAAGTGCTACATTGAAATCAGTCTTTTTTTCCTTTTTTTAACAGTGGAATGTTTAGAGATGAAGAACACACTAAAGCCTTCCTATGAACAATTCTGGAACAAGTCAATGGAGAATAAGGATTTGTTAAATGTTACCACAAAACAGAATTGCCTTTGAAACAGGGTTATAAGGGCTTACCCCTGAGTGTGCCTGTCTAAGCATCTGTGTGTGTGTGTGTGTGTGTGTGCGCGCGCGTGTCTCTGGGGAGGGAAGGGACTTTTCAGGTGTTTTGAGACGAGTTTGAATAAATTTCCATTTTTTAAGCAGGTAAGCGCTATGCATGAATATTTTTAAATTTTGAAACAGAAACTTTCTAAATAAAGCAGAACATGTTGAAATGGGTCGTGTTTTGTGTGTATGTGTCACAGAGTTGAAAAAAAGAAAAACATTGTTTGAAAACACAAACATTGTAAATGCTACGTTTGGTTGAAAATGTGTCATAAATGCTAAATTGAACAGCAGACTTATAGAGGCGTAAACTGCTTCGATGCTCAGCTACTTCCTCTTGGAACATAGACGATATGATTTGCTTCCTTTTTATGTTGCGCTCAGGTCCTAATTGTTGATCAGTCATCATTGAGTAAATATAAAATACAGTACATTCGCTCTGTCAGTTTTCTATTTTTAGGTCCCTGTCCCAGATTATGCCAGAAGGAAGGCTGTGTGTGTGTGTGTGTGTGTGTGTGTGTGTGTGTGTGTGAGAGAAAGAGAGGAAAAGAGAAACTGTATCCACAGTGACATCAATCCAAGTAACTCTTTAAAGTGTGAACCGTTTCAAGTGAGCTGTTCTCAGCCCCATTAGCCATTTTGAAAGATGCAACAGTGCAATTAGCTGGCACAAAGCGAAGGCGAGGGGGGACCCGGGGGTCGTGTTCAAAGCCGTTCCTTTTTACATTCAACTCCATGGTGTGAATGGAAAATATTACAGCATTTAAACAATCAGCACATTTGTGTTCTTTACACAATACATTCATTTTATTCCAAATAAATTACTCTATCCGACACAAAGACAAGTTGAACCTTGCGATTGTTAAAGAGTACCAAACAAAAAACGAGCATGAATTGACAAGTCAGCGGATGGAAGTTAAACGTAAATAGAATAGAAAACACAGCACCTGAGATCACAGCGTGTCTTTGCTACACATAAAAACTTTGGCAGGTGATTCACACTGTGGACTCACTCTAACATACATCCCCGAGGCGGAGCGCCGTAATGATGCACTTTTGAGGCGTGAAGAAAAGGCTGAAGGACGGGGGCGACACCAACCCTTGTCAATCATCCAGTTCGTCAAAAGGAGCCGGGGGCTCCTGCGTGGCTTTAGTCAGGTGTCTTTGAGTGCGTGAGGGCGAGAGGTGGAGCTTTTAATTAGGCCAGCGAGCAGGAGAGACTGCCGACGAGAACAGGAAAGGTTAGGGGAGGCCAGGTAGTGTAGGTGGATGAAGGGGAGGTCAGGAAAACTAGACAGGAGAACTGCGTACAGCCCTGCACACTCATTATCTCCTGACGGGGGTTAGAAGGAGATAACTCTGTGCCAAGATACAGTCTGCAGAATGAAAAATGACTACACTCAACAGCTGCAGGATGGTCGATTTCCTCTCTCTTTTTGGATAACGCTAACAGCTATTACATATAGACGGTGCTAAAAAGATTCAGCGCGCACACTGAAAAGAAGCATCAATCTTCAAGGATTGGGATTTCATGATTTTTCATTATCTAATGTGGAGGTCAAGGACACACAGATTCTCTAAGGTGCACTAAACGCGGAGGGGCTGTGCGTCACATGAAGCCTTTTGTTATACACCGTGTGAACTTAAATTAATCGTGAAGCCAGCGACTTGCTTCAGTGCAGCTGCAGGTTGGACAAATATAAACTCTTCAAGATTTATCAAAGATAGTAAGAGGAACTTGAAACAGATTTCCCTCTAAAACAGCCATAAAAGCCCCCCTTTCTGTAGTTAGGCAGTACTGGACATTTATCAATGTTAAATAGCTTTTTGCATGTGTGAGGCTGATTCTGGTCTCCTAATTGAACAATTGCTTGATTTAATATGACTTTCCTGTTACTAAATAGACAAGAGTCCCTACCAGGGGAACAATGGTGTACATAGTGAATAGTCTCTCATTCAATTCAACATTGGAATAGTACTGTAGCTGATGGGAATTTTATTAGTTTTGCAGATAATTGCGCATAAGCTTGGTTTTGTGGATACATTATGATTTTGACATCATAAAAAAAAGAAGACATAACCAAATAACTAGAATTCAAGTGTTAAATACTAATGTGTGCAACAATTTAATGGCCAATATACGCAGTTACTGTGGAAACAGATGGTTCAGAACCACAAACATGCACATTTTATACGCCGCATCTACTAAATCGAAAGAATGTTAAATGATAAACAAGCCGCTGCGGGTTCTACTCTACCCGCTAATTTTGTGGCACCTGACAAACCGTCGCACGCGTCCGGTTGTCATCCACTGCTCACACTCACTACGCTGCTGTACAGCTTAGAACGCAAGTGATCGAAGGTCAGTGGAACCTCATCCGTATTAACGACAGCCTGCGGGCCAATTCAATGCTCAGCTACTTCTTCTATGTGAGGTTTCTGAAGTTTTCCTTCAAAATCCGCAGGTAGTTATTGACAGAGAGGCGTGTGTGCCCCGATGCTCGGACCTTTTCACTTGAAGGCACCACGAGGCGCCGCCTCTCAAATCCTCAATGTTCTTTTCTGCTGCGATCGCCTTTTCTTTAAGACGAATCTGAACTGTCGAAACACCACAGACGCTTGCTCTCCCACCCAGATGACCGATGGCGGGAATAAATCCCAAAATGAACCACACCCTTATTTTAGCCGCCGGGGTCGAAGGTGAGAAAAGAAAAAAGTATCTGCTTATGACCTGCATTTTACAGTATGTGGACCAACAACGCAACTACAACCCATCCTGTGGGGATCAAGAGCTTTCGTCAATTGGTCAACAGCACAAGACCTCATCATAGAAGTTTAAAAGGACTGATTTCAAAACGTACTCTACGGCCTGCACTGTATTTTTCGCCGTACATTGTTTTGTATTTCTGTAATGGAAATTAAAAGAAAAAAACTTTTCTAGATGTAAGGGAAATAAAAACAACAACAGTTAGTAGTTCATCACATCAACCATAGACCCTTTATTTTGGGGCAGGTCTCTCTCTCTCCTTCCTTCTTAGAGAGAAGAGAACATGCAAGCTTGGGACATGTTTGTTTTTTCAATCAGCATTTGGCCAAGTGCTTCTTAGACCACTTCAGATTGCCCCTAGTGCAGCTAGAACGTGCATGAAGACAGGACGTGCATGTGACAAACAGGGTTGATTATCTTTTTTTGGGGGGGCTCAGAGGGGCGCTTCAGGTGGGGCGATGCCCTGTTTCCCCTCTATTGGCCAGCCACCAAGTATAAACCATCTGAGAACAGGGAACTTAAAAAGACAAATTCTGCTTTTTCTAGGGATAAATCTGTAAGACGTCGTTTTGGGCTGAGAACATCATAATGGGACATATGAAAGCCATTCCCACACTAACTTATGTTTCAAACAATGAGGGGTTTCAGATTTGCTAGTCAGGTTTGGTGCAACCTTTAACCTCAGACACCTCAGACAAGAAAAACTTCCCGTGAACAAACCAAATGTCTTAATTGAAGTTGTAGAGTTTCAGGAGGTCACAGCAGGTCATTTACTACTGGGACCTTGAATCTCGGGAAATGACCTCATTGCAATGAAATATCCACTAAGAGGACTAAAATCATCACACGTGTAAACAATCGGGCTCATTGAAATGCACCTACACTGCTTGGATTTTGCCCCGTACGCCGTGGGTTCCCCTCAGAACCCGTTCTCATTCAGGGACCTTGTGGTGAGAGGTGAGGGGAGCGGCCGAGGAGGTCAGTGTCTTCGGGGAGGCTCTCTTGCACTGTAAACCGCTAACCAGGGACAGCGACTGGCCGAGTCGCTCTCTGGCGAGGGAAACCGCATCGATGAGTTCACAAAAACTTACTTGGACGTAGCACTACCCGAGCGTTGCCATGGAAACCCCACATTGCCGACCGCTGCGCGGTAGCTGTAGACACCCAGGAGGCCGAGGGCGAGGGCGACCTTGGAGACCCACGAGCAGCGTCGTTGAACCAGGAAGTAGATGAGGAAGAGGCAGAAGGCGGCCAGCAGGGAGAGCAGCGTCCTGTGTTCGGAGCTGGAGAGACAAGCCGCCATGGGGTTACGAACACGCTGGGCTCTAATAGGAAGCACTTCCCGGGAGTTTTATGACTAAATTCAATTTGAGAACACATTTACGGTGCATATTGCAGGTATTTCATCAGTTTCCTCATTTCCCTATTTCTATATAATGATCAAAAACGAATCTGACCACTGGAAAAAAAAGACCGCTCAGACCTTGAAGTAGACTATTTACTGAGCATTTGGATGAGATGAAACCCCGTTGGTCATATCCGCCAGCAGTAGTTCAAACTGTAAAAAGGCACAAATTCCTCACTGCATTTAAGGCTACATAGCATGAAATTACACCGGCACTGAGCACAGGCGAGTAATAAGACCTCAGAGGACATATCAAAGTTGAATAGGTGCTGTGTTTTTCAGCCGTTTTCTGGAACAGACAGCAGTGGAAGTCAGGTACTTTTGAGACAAGATGAGGCGCAACACTACCCAGGTCTCATTATCCAAGAAAAGGGGCCGCGCAGGTAGGAAGGAAGGGCAGCGCTGGACAGCGAAAAGGTCACAATCCACATCTCTTCTCCACAATGTCGTGCATGTTAAAGAACAACCCATAATCCCCTGCCCCGCGCTGTTGACAGAATATTAATGGCTCAGTTTTACAGAGAAATTGCCGTTTTTTTCTACAGACTGAGCAATCACACAACCTATTTTCCCATCTGGAGTCTTGAAGAAATACAAAAAAAAGCAGAGGGTTCTGTCAGCTTAACAGCCAGGAAAAACAGCCTAAAATGTTTCACTGTCAGGTGAAAAGATCTGCAGACTGTTAACACCCTGTAGCTTTCCTTGAATGACTGTGATGACCAAATCATGCAGGGCCTTGTTTTGTTAAGTGTATTCCAGTTGTATATTTCAATCTACCAGCCTCATCTATGTCCTACAGTTCACAGAACAGCCTGCTTGTATATTCCCCCGAGGAGGGACAAATGAAAATTGTTGTTTTTTCTTACATGAATCTCTCCCAGTAAGCAGAGAAAGGGGATTTCTCACTTTATTTATGCAGGATTTGCACTGAACCCTAAAATAGACTTATACGTGTGAAAATGACTTTTCACACATACATGCATTAACAAAGGGCTAATAATCCTTAAGTCTTTAATACAATTGCAGGACAGAAAAAACAACCTGCTGATGACTTCAGTGCTCTTGAGGCCTCATTGGCAGACGATTCTGTCTTAAGTAACGATGGAAAAAGACACAAGGGTCTGTTCACTGGGAGGGATTTATGCACAAACTCTTCCGGTCTTTGTACATCCAGCTCTCTTGTGTCGTTAAATATGGAACTCACTTCAGGGAAGCTAAAGCGAAAGACGGAGCACTCGGTCTCCTTACTAATCAGGGAGAGCTGCGTCTTCTCCCAGATGAACCTCTTAGGAATCAAAATGCTGCCAAGAGTAACTATGCATCAGCCAGGTAGCCGCTGCGCGTTAACACTCTGCTTTGCAGAAATCATGTGTCATGAAGAGTGAGATGATGACGGGTCACCTGCCAAAAGGCTGGAGTGAAAAACAGCTTTATGTAAAAAAAGACAATCGCCATAATGAAATGGAGGAAATTATCATTTTTAAAGGTCTTTTTTTATGCATTTTCCCGTGTCAGATGAATGGTGAGCCCCACCTGTTCAGCCAATGTCCCACGTCAGGGAGATGAGCCCACTGCACCCCGGTCTGGTTGAGGGAGCGCAGCAGTCGGCAGCAGACCAGCGTGAAAGGAGGCGTGGCTAACGCCAGCCACCGCTCCGGGAGGACCTCCGCCCTGGAGCGAGCAGAGGGATGGCAGTCTCTGGAAGGCAGGACGGGCTCCTCCTCGTCTCCAGAGGCGCTCTGCTCTCTGAAGTACTTGCGGCACACGTCTTGGAAGACGGCGAGGCAGAGGGTGTTGAGCAGGAAGTACCAGATCTGGTGCTCTTCCTCCACGAAGCTGCTCGCCGCCAGGCTGAGGGTGTGTCCCACTGTGCCGGCAAGCAGCAACACGTCCAGCTCCGACAGGGACCACTCGCTGCTCCTCGAAGGAGACTACAAGGGGAAACAGAAAGTCAACAAAACAACATTTACACTTGACTTCTTTTTCTCAGCGAGGTGTTATGAATAAATCAAAAAAATATTGTTCTTGCGACTTGAAACAGTGGACTTTATTTTGATCCAAATCTTGGATCTCCACAAGCAACAAATCTATTCAGAGACCTCATTCATGACTTGTGCAACACAACAACTGCCGCAGCACACAAGCCCCACGACGGCAGCCCGTCATGGGGGTATGGATGGGTGTGAATGGGGGAATGACATGTTCTGCTAAACTCATGCACTCGCCCACCTGTGTACCGTGGAACCACTGGCAGCAAGACCTCACTCAGAGACAAATATTGCTCGGATGATTCATATCAATACTGATTCTCATTGAGTAACAGTTAATTTAGCTGCCACTAACTAAGGCTGCTCTATTATCTCAACCACCATCATTTTGAACTCAGCTTTTCGAATCCAAATTTGATCAAGGAAACAACAACCGCACTTCCCTTCCTGCTAAAACTGAGATTCACTCCGTCGTATGCTGTGTGCAGTAAAGGCCCCTCATTCCCAGAGACCAGGTCAGAGGACATTTTATGGGGGTTGACAAATACAATCGCAGGACTTCCTCCATACTCAGTTCATTTAATGTTAATGACTGCGGAGCCCCTGTAAGCTTAATGAGGGAGTCAGAAGGCTCAAATCATTCCAGACGCCTTTAATAGTGACTCCGACATGAAAGACTAGCGTTCATTCCCTTTGTTTTACTGAAGAGAGCAAATGAGATAAATAAGAAATGAGCCAGTTAACGACACCACCAATACATTAATGTGGGCTCAGTTATAATGTACACATTCAACATGTGTGCACGGATGGTTCACCTGGTTAAATAAGAATAGGGGCGATGGGGAAAAGGATAACTTCACGGACAAACTCACTTGCAGCCATAGTGAGACCCTGAGCTGTCATTCAAAAATAGTGGCCGGTCATCACATTTTTAAAATTGGTGTTCGTCCAATACTTAAATTCAAATAATTTGACTGAGTGGGGATGATGCGTTGGCGTGGAAAGCAAGTTCAAATCAAGTTCAGCCAGCCTCACAGCTCAGCAGCAATGTTTTAGCCCAACCAAGAGCTATCAAACACAGATGTGCACCAGAGGTGCAGCGCTCGCGCTCTGCAGGCTGCAGCGCGGCCTCCCGGGGGACGGGAGCGCACATATACCTGTATGCTTTGCACTGCATTATGAGACATTAAATATTTACCACTGGTAGTGGTGTCCAAAAAAAGAAAAAGGAAAAACAACATCACTCAACATGGGCAACTTGAGGATTTACAGCTTCTAGGCTGCATACATTGTCTGGGTTGCTCTTTATGGAACTCTTTCAATCACAATTTGTCCCCCGTTGTTTATTGAGGAAGGTCTCCCAGACAGAATAACCTTTATGTGGCTTGATGATCACAAATAGTTATTTTTTTGTAGGTTTGAGTATTTGGTTGAGCCGGATCTACCGATTCAGCAACATTTCCTCATGTTTTCCCTCACTGATTAAATCTTGTTAACTTAGTATTAACGAAGACAGAAGACAAGCGTAATAGAAGGATATAGTTATTGACTGGGTCATTATTTCCTAATTATTTTCCACATATCTTAATGGATTAAACAAAGCAGAACATAATGCGGTTAACGCAGGTGGATTAACGGTCTTCTTTCTAGTATTTGTGCTAAGCTAAGCTAACCCCCTTCACGTTGTAGCCTTACGCTTCATCAACAGATGTGAGTGGCGTCGATATTTCTAAACTATGAGGGAGAGCTAAGAGAAGCTGAACGGAAGCCGTAAGTAGAACGAGAGCATGTTGCTCCTCGGCCCTCTCGCTCGCCTTCAGGTCGGCTCACAGCACAGAGATGGACAGTCCGTGTCATATTTACAGATTTTAGGCTAGAAAATAAGGGTAAATTTGCTTGTTGCCGTTTTTAAATTTTTACAGGATTACTTTTTAAATAGGACACACGCTCACCTTTTGCCTTATTAAAATTCATTAAACCGAAATTCTAATCACATCTTGGTTTGGGCGATGGGTTACTTATTAATCTTCCAGTTGCAGAGAAACTAATCAGGATGCCTCTAATAAAAGGTTTGGATGCGGCCATTTGTCAAGTCAAAGCAGGCGGCGCTTTGCACTTTGATCCACACGGATTCAAGTGATTGTATACTGTAATATAACAGGACCTTATCGGACTTTGGATCATTTCCTAAACTTTCTGCCTTTATTTTGGAAATTTTGTTGCACAATATTATTCTTCCAGAACGGTAAATTAAACTCTGGCTTTTTAAAGTATTTAGCTTGAGTCTAATCGTGATTTCAAAAGTCATGACTTTGAGGACACATAGTGTACTAATTATACTTCCTCACACAGCTTATTAGAGATACATATCTTGGCCATAATGACGGACCATGATACTAAATCACTTTAATCACGGTTTTTGGAACAAGATATATTAGCAATACATGAAACTGATCCTCATACTGCTTTCAAAGTAATCAATCATATTTTAAAATAGATCAAGTACAGTAGGATTGTTCTTTTTTAGATGCAGTGGAGATATTGAATAGATGTGTTAATTGCATTGCATTTCCTCCATAATGTTTTACAGTCAATGTTTGACTACTCACCAAAAAGTCTGCAGGTGGATGAAGAGGCCCTCTTCTTTTTATGCAATTAAGCTCAGGTACATGCACCTTTTGTGTTTTTCAAGGAAATTGGAGTCACAGAAGCACCCACAGTCTCTCGCTCTCTTCATGCTCCAGCAAAAAAGATTTAAGAGTTTATTTCTTCACCGAACCCAAACGAGCCCTTCAGACTTTTTTGCCCTCTCAGCACTTTTGCAGAAGTTGCCCAGAAGGACCAATGAGATGTAACCTTTGGAGATAAATTATAACGAGGTGCAGCAGTAAAGAGGCCTCATCTTTTAGGCCAATTCAAACAAACACTAAAAATGCGAATGCGGCCACCTTCTGAATAACTAGTCCCAGTATATGTGATTAATGGCCCACTTAAGAGGAGCGGTCCCAACATCAGCGGCAGGTACTTTTATTTGTTGAAGTACGTCTCAACATAGCTGTTACAGGCGGAAGACAACATCACATAAACTATGTATGAAACAAACGTGCACCACCGAAAACTATCAGATCCACTGCCGCACCAGTGCGCTCATATTGCATCACTGCAAAAGAAACCGTTAAAGCCAACAAGTCCGTTCTTTATTACCATGAACCACCGAAAGCCTCAAGGAGTTGCATCAGGAAGCCAGTTTCAACTGGTGTACGCGTGGAGACAGCAGGCAAGTTCAGCAGAAGAACAACTACACTCCTGAAAACTTTATTAATAGGCACACCTTGCTTCAAATAACGCAGGGCAATAAACCCTCACGAAGGCTCGGAGTCACAATGATGATTATTTCGGAGGATGATGTTTGACGTGCTGCTGAATTGCAGCGAGGCCTTTCTGATAGTCAAATAACCTCACTGATACGAATGCTGAGGGGTGGACGAGATAACTGCAGGACGGATGTCTCCGACCGCGTCAGTGACAGCTCTGAAGGTGTGGAAGGAATTCTCTGGGGTCTGAGGAAGCCTATGATCTATTTGGGTTTCATTGGAAGGAAGTGGACGCCTTCTTGAGACATAGCCTTTAGTTATCTTAAAATGTCCATAGTCTGCCCTGACTGACATAATGCTTCATGCGTATGCAGTTTTTTTCTTTGTTATTACTGCAGTTTTTTTTCTTGGATTGCCCTTAATGCAGCAGTGTGCTTCAGACATGTGCGCTGGATTTAAAAAACAATGTGAGCATTTGGGACTCCGCACCATCTGTGAAAAATTCATTCAACTTGAGTTTTACAAATGCTGCGTTCCTTCTCTATAACTCTCATTGAATGACAAAAACATTTTTTATATATTTATTCATATTTAATATATTTTTGTTTATTCTAAAGCCTTTTCATACTTATTATCATCCTGTGCAATGCTGTAGAGAAGTCATTCGAAATCATTCTTTAAAAGATATTTAATAGACCCATTCGGTCGGGCACTTTTTTGTGGGTCTGAGGCCCCCGAGGTCTCAGACCCACAAAGAGGGACTCGCTGAATCCCTTTGTTACACATGTCATTTAGGAGCCATTTCACATGTTCCAGGCTGCATTACTCACAGCTCTGCTGACTAAGCTAAATCCCAAAGTGGGAATACAATAGTCAAGAGCCGATCACAGAGCAGCTGAACCGCTTCACACGTTCAGCTACGTATATTTAGCGGCACAGACTCACCTTCCCGTGAATAAGCGGCCCAAGGGGGAGTCGCCGCATCGCCATGGAGATCAGAATGCAAAACATCGCCGAGGAGAGGGCGACGGCGGCGAACACGAGACCCCAGGAGAGGCTGCAGAAGTAACAGGAGCTCTCGGCGGAGGTGCACACCAGGACGTGCACCGAGGCAAGCAGCAGGCAGAGCAGGTAGAAGGGCAGCGAGAGCAGCGCCGAGAGGACAGGAAGGTCCACGGTCGCCTCGCCGCTCAGGGCCTCGGGCATAGCCAGCAGTAAGACCAGCAGGAGCTGGAGGGGCAACACCAGAAACACACCGTGTGTGGGAACAGCATTGGCATCTCAAACATCGGGGCCGAACTCGGCCGTGCACGATGCAGAGAGCTGTGAGGAATTGGAAACGTGCGACCACAGAAAGACAACACAACGTTGTGTAAATAACACAATGCTATTTGGTTTGTTTAATAAAATAACAAGGTACCTGTTCTATAGGAGAGGTAATCTTATAGGACCTTTGTTGTGAGGTCGCCATAATATAATGGTTGGGAAACACTGACGCATGTCTCACAGTCAAACGTTGGACACATTTTCTCATTGAATCAAATGAGAAAGTGTGTCCAAACGTTGGACTGGTACTGTATAGGAAGGCCCTCAGCACACAAGCGTTATGTAGTATCGATAGTTATGGCCATTCCAGCTCATTCAAGCGTTTCCGTGTGGCAACCACAGTCAGAGAGGCTCCTGCACCGACACAGAAAGCTTTCAAATGCAGACACGTGTCTTTGTATTGTTTCCTTAAACAAATGAACGCCCGCCCCCCGCCCTGCACTCACCTGGAACACAAAGACCATGCCTGCGACCATGGAGTACATGTCGTACTTGCCCAGCTGCTTGCTCAGGGCCGAGCTCATGGAGGCCAGGGCCTCCAGGTACTGCTTCAGGACCTTTCTGCCCATGTTGGTGAGCACCTCCGAGGTGTTGCCCTCCAGGAAGAGCTTCATCCAGCTCCCGTGGGCCCTTTCTGCCATGCGGAACTGCTCAAAGCCGGCCTCTGCAACGGGAGGAAGAAGTGGTTGATACAAACAGCTGGCATGTTTACAGAGTGTGGCTTTACTTTAAATCAGGGATTATTTTGACACTAATGTTCGCTGTCAGATGCTCAAATACTTGTCATTACTTTCATATGCAGCCACATTTCTGGTTGGAACTTCGGCAGCTGCTGCATTCATATAGATTTGTCAGATTGAGGACATTTGCAGCAACTCATTAATAACCTTAATATCATTCCTGATGCAACGCTATACTCATTTTGCACTATTTATGTATCACCAAATACCATCTGATGCATCTAGACAATTTGATTTAACTCCCAAATCAAACAATCTTAGCTTTTCCATTACATAACTTGAACTTCTGCTTGCAGACCGCCTCCAGACTGAATGCAAGAGCCTCAGTATTACAGGAGAGCAATGTTTTCAATAGATGGCAAAATTTACATCAACCATGCCCACCGATTGTAGCGTATTACATTTTAGCAATAAAAAATGCCAATGATTTACTATTAATATAGTCAATAACAAACCATGAAAACATTGGAGAAGTAGAGGCAGTCTGGAGCGTTTTGTCTCACTTCAGGAATAAGCCCCTTCAGACGGAGGCGGCCGATCCCGACGTTTTTCATCATTAACACAAGAATACATGTTGTCTTAGTTTTGGGTTCCTTGTGAATGAGAGATGACGATTGTATTCATCACTTCCTCAACCATTCTGATGCGCATTGGATGGTTTTAAATGGAAAATCGATTTAATCTCAGCCTTTGCTTGTTGTTTTCTGCTTCGATAATGATCCCAAAATGTTAAAGATAATAAGATACCTCTAGTAAAAAAGACATTTAGTCGTGAGAAGAAACAATATATAGTTTGTCAGGACCTTAACGATGACGAGCTGTGACTCATCAACAGGTGTAAGCAGACAAAGCGACGCCTGCTTTCATTACACTTCAGTGCTGCAGCAACGTGTTCAAGGGCAAAGCAATGCGGAGGTTTGATGTGTGCTGTGCATCGACCAAACACACAAGCTCTCTCCTAAAAACAATATTTTGCAGAATAACACCTATCTCAGAGGCATACGGGTGATAAATAGTGACTTTGGCTTTGCCAGACAGTAGAAATATTAGAACCTTAAGCCACAGTTATGAATCACACAATGTGAACGGCCCCGGCCATGTCTCATCTGTCTAAAAGTGCACCGATTGGTTAATGGCCCTCCAAGACGCCTGAGGTTAGAAGCACAGGAAACAACACAATATGAAGATTGGAACAAAGCCAACGCTGATGGATTCATGAACAAGTTTCAGAAGGACAGTCAGAATGCGAACCTGTACGTGGAACTTCTCTATGGGGGGGGGTTGTTTGGGGTTTGGGTAACAGGAGCTATTAGGAAATCTGACGTCATCCGAGACCAAAACCCGATAGAAAACATGCAGGTGTGACTAGAACACAGTTAATCAACGCAATTTACAAAAAAGGACATTGATCCTTTAACAATAACTGGGAGGAATTTGTATTGTTGAAATATTTTAGCAAGATTTGATTAAAAACTAAAAGACAATCTATAGTACATTTGTTTGGGGAGGAAGAACGTTTTGTACTAATCTCAATCACAGTGCTTGGGGAATGTGGCTCTTGTACATTTAGTCAGTTATAACTATGCTGCTTTAATCCAACCAACCCGTGTCCAGCTGTGTGAGAATTTAGTAACAGAGAGAATAGACGACTAACAAATAGCGAAACATTGGGGAAGCTGAAATAACAACAAGATATTGGAAAAATAAAACCATGCGTGTGGGGAATCCAATTATTATTATACCTCAACTTGGCAGAGAGATGTGGAGGCGGAACAAGATGTTTTTATACCTCATACGGAGCTGAACTTTGAAAATGTCCCTTTCATGTTTTGCAAATTATTGCTACTCTATGACAACAACAAAAGATTTCAAATGAGCGCCCAATCATGGAAAACTCTTAATATATCCAATTGAGTCAGTCAAACTGGAAGTTTTTGGGCATCGTAAATATTTTTTTTAATTGATTTTCTTTTCTCACATTTAAATGAGGAAATCATCCATATTTCTATCCAGACATGTGACAACTTCCTTCACACCCAGTAAGATGTGACCGTGACCCCAACATGTGTCCCAGAGCCGCGCTGCTTAAAATATCACCGCGGGCAAATTTACCAGCTGTGACGAATATTACTTTTAACTGCTTTATGATTCCTCAATTGGACATCTTCAAAAACAGCAAATAAAAACTCACTCACAACAAAATAAATATCCAAATGTAGGTCTTCAGGAATAATTTCCATTTCATCCCATCACTATGGTAACCAGAGCCCAAATTAGAGTGTGAATGTGCTGCCAGTGCAGTAAGGTTTTTAATAGGAAAGTTGGTTGTGAATGAGCAATATTTGCTGCTTACCACACACAGGGAGTTCAACACTCTTTAAGGGTGGCATGTGGCACATTTGTCTCACGATTCAGCATGTTGTGCTGATGAGACAAGATACCAATATCTGTGCGCCCAAAGCAAACACAAATAAATGTTTCCTCATCCTGAAGATGTGCCTAAAATAGACTTTTGGGGGAGCGAGTGTTTTTTGAAACAATACTTAAAGAAAGACAACAAACGTGTTCAGAAAAAGAGACAACTTGGAAAATGTAAGAAACACTTAAAAACAAATATTCTAAAGGTGCTTTGAGCCATATGCTAATGTTAGCATGCCAACATGTCCAATGCTAACAGGCCCATGCTAAGCAGGCCAAATGTTTCCTTATCAGCACAACCCAAAGTTTTTGGAGGTGTTTTGAAGTAAACCAAAGCAGTAGAGTCGGTTATATTTTGACATCAGGTGCTAAATTAAAAGTCCTGCAGCATGATATAAAGTTTCGGGCTGAGTGTTACATTTGTTACAACAACCACAATGAGTTTCATCATTGGAGAACCATGAGAAATATCAAAACATCCAAATTCAACAGCGATCTGTTGTGATTTAGTTTTCACTACACGTTAATCTTCCTACAGATCCACTGTTTGAATTTTAAATTTCAGTCTTCCAACACTTTCTACTAACAATAGTGCTGTAATTCCTTTTGTATCCCCGTAAGAGTTTTTTTCTAGGCATTCAGAAAGATCCCTTATGCAGGGAGGCTGCAATCCCGCAAGCAGCCTTGCAAGCAGGCACTGTGCATGATCCATTTGGTCCCTTACGTCAAAAGCACTTCCCGTTTACTACATGACTGATTCAGTAAACGCGCTTTTTAGAAGATTAGGATTTTTCAAATGAAATGCAACATGTCTGATTGTTTGCCAAACAAGCCAGTCATCAGGAGAGTCTGCCCCCCCCCCCCACCCCCACCTCACTTAAAGCACAGAGATAAATTACGACCGACCGATCAAACATGATCAACGGGAGCTGCTGCCGTTCGATCGTTGGTGTGTGAAACATTTGTGAGAACCAGGGACGGAGAGAGGGAGACGTGGGGGCTACGAGATGGATGACTCTGACAAAGAGTGCGACCCCGAGATGAAGGCGGTGAGCAGCTCTCCGTGGGGATATGTGCATGTATTTGCACAAAGAGCGTTACCGTTCAGCAACAGACCACAGCCTCTTTGGGATTCTCCCAGCCATCTTTTTTCACAGCTGGAAGGTAATTGCTACACAGGTTTGTTGAAATCATCCCCTTCGCCACGACACGCCAGGGACACGCGTGGCTGTTTCTCACTCGGGTGCCTGCGTTTATTAGTGGACCTACGTCCTGTAAACGCATCCGTGATTCATCTGTGTCAATGAAGGAAACATCTCAAAAATACAGTAACGTCAATAAGCTTAGAGGATTATCCAGATACGCAAGATGATTCAACCCTCGTCTTAATCACAGGGCTTCAGCTGTAACGCCGCTTTGATGAAGCGAATAATGAAGAGGTGGACTTTGACTTCTGCAGCAAACCATTTCTGATTCAACTTAAGTCCGCGCCGTCTGTGCGTCTTCAGCGGGAAGATGAAACCGCAAATAAAGGGACCGTCCAAATAAGACGGTGATCCGCTTCATCCGAGCTCACGCGTGTAATCTCGACAAACTTCTGTGGCGTGTTCTGTTTGTGTCGGAGACTGTCAGAACGTGTATCCGCCCACATTTCATTCCTTTAAAAGCCACACCGAGCTGTTTTTTGGGCCATAAAGAGCCGTTGCCGCAGAGTTGTTACAGCCAATATATGTTAGTGTTCAGCTTCCTGTAAAGTACCGTGTGCACATCCATCTCACACTGAGCCACATACTGACATATTCTGTCTCCGTTTTGCTATTTTTGTCTCCACCAACTCCTGAGGGAAATATCTCTCTCCTCAGCAGCAAAATGCTTTTGCTAACTCTGTCTGTGTGTTTAAGTGGTGGACATGTCCGTACACTGGGTCCATTTTCAGCTTTGCATTGACAACAGCGGATGATGTTGGATTCTGTGAGTGTGAACTAAGAAGTTGGGGGCAGTAAAAACCCAAAGATGCTGTAACGCCATGAGATGAGGAGCCAGGTGAGCATTTCTGAGGCTTTGTTATTTTATGGAAACATTAATTAGTGCAGCTTTAAGTGTCACACAGTAAGACAGTAAAGACGAGCAGCAGGTCACAAAGCTTAAGTTGCTCTGTATTGACCTTCCCGTCCCACGTCAACCAGATCATTAGGTGTAGTGGAAATACACTAATAATGTGAGAAGGCTTAGAGCGATTGAGTCATTTGGAACTCACCTGTGTGTTTGGTGGTTATCAGCTTCAATTGATAGAGAGTATAGAAAAACTGCCACAGTCACATTGCATTTGTTCGTTGGGAAAAGGTAGCCACTGAATCAGCAGGCACTGAACCACCTCGCACAATGATGAGACCCCGTCAGACGAGGTCCCGGCTTCCCGAGCTCTAACGAGTCCAGAGGTTGGACTCGGTAAAATTCGTGACCCACCTTTCTCGTAGTCGGGCGTGCTGTCTTTGAGGAGGCAGCTGAGCTGGTGGCCATTGAGATGCAGGAAGCGCAGCTGGTCGCGCAGAGAGGTCTCCTCCAAGACGCCCGGGATGAGGCGCCCCACGCTGTTCTGGGATATGGGCAGGCCGAGTCCCAGGGCCAGCGTTGGAGTCAGGTCGACCTGCTCCACCACCTCGGGCTTCTCCATTCCCACTGACACCATGGGGGCAGAAAAAGAGTGAGGTTCTGCAAAGCCTACAATACACGATGTGAACTAAAGACACGTACGTTCTTCTCCTTTTTAGAGTTTGGTTGTGTTTGTGTCGAGCTGTGTTCTTTTCTAAATGCCCCCTGTAGATCGGCGTGTATCAAATTCCACTATTATGCTCAACTTCAATATAACAACGAAGTTCTTCTTCTATTTATTTAAGTAGATGCAAAGCAAAAATGTGCCTACCGGTGAAATTTCCCTTAAAACCCAGACGCAGAAATTTCTTGTGATCAAAGTTCATTTTATTACTGCAAACTAAAAGCGCTCCTCCGGCAAAACCGCTCTACATGATGGACAGGAGGAAATGGCAACATTTTCATACGGACTCCTCTATTCACACAATAAGAACGTGTCAGAGCGGATTTCACAGCGGCCATAGAGAGAGAAAAAGGAGCTCCCTCTCCCTCCTGAAGTCAGAAATTGTGCACAGACAAAATCCCACACATTTGTGTTGGTTGGAGCGATTACGAATATCATACTTTACTATGTGGTGTGTGCGTGTGTGCGTGCGTGCGTGTGCGCGGTACAACTGAGGCCTTTCTGCACGGCGGACTCTTTTCTTCTCTTAAAGTAAAACCCATCAGTGAGATCTCTGTGGGTTAGAATCGTTGTCTAATCTGAATTCTAACACAGAAAACTTGAAAGCACAACGATCAATCCGCACATTGACTCTGGCATTAATACCTGTGGGTATGAGGGTTGTCACAACCACCCAAACAACAAAACAGTGAAACAGTGACATTCAAAAATGTCGTCAGCAGTCAGAAACAGATATTTTCAAGTTGACGCTTAGCTTCCTGTGGAGAGCTTTCAAGAATACAACGAGAGAACGGGACCCATTCCCTAAATTGTCTGTGTCTGAGGGAAGCTTTCAGGTTGCGGTGATGAACTATGCCCATCTAAATATATCCAAACCTGCACGATGCAGCTCACATGCGTGGGACCAAAGAATGGGACGAACACCGGAGCTTTGAGCTAATTTGGTAATTGGACACAATGAAATTAGCCGGCAAATTTAATCCGTTTTATTTTGAAAGGAGACGGATTTGTAAGGAGAAGAGGGGGCTGCTGTATTGAGCCAGTAGCTGTTCAGCACAATGCATGAATCTGCAAAGTACACAAGGCTTCTTTAAATCTGCTACTTGTTGTGCCTTCAGCTGCAGTTATTAAAGTGAGCAAAGTTCTTGGAGCATTGTTTGTGAAGTGAAAGGTTTTCAAAGTTGTATTAAATGCTAATCCTTTATTAACTATTTGTGTAGCATGCATTGGTATTTTAAGATTTGTTCTATGACCACATGCTTTAGCGGTTACACCCAACCAAAGGTCTGCTGCACATTCTGCTCTAACTGTGTGTCATAACGCAGCAAAAGGGAACACAGACACACAAAGTTGATTCATGGATGAGAAAACTGCAGCTGACAAAGAAGCTGTACGCACGAAAGTATGCAGCTTTCTGATAATGTCTTGAAAAAAAAAAAAATTCATGTGACTGTGCAGAGCAACACATTTAGTCCACTTAGACTTAGAGAATACTTTGTACCAAAGCTGGAACCATAGGAACGTTTTTGTATAAAAGCCTATTATCAAATGTTTTTGCGCTTTGTCTTTTAAAAACATTTTTTAGAAACTTTTGTCACTTCATTTCTTTCTAAAATTACAAATAGTTATACATATGAACTAAGTAGAATACATTCCATTAAAACGGTCTGTGCAAGGCGATTAGGTATGTGGTCATGGCTGTTTGTGTGTGTGCGTGCAAGCGATGCTGCACCAGACAGACAACTGCTTGTGCTCACGTATGCCCGGCTGCTCAAGAACCTCTCTGGTTGATTCACACACTTTTCACATTCTATCAAAAGGTTTTTATACCGAGGCACAGGCAATTGTATGCCCGGACATTGTTTAGCAAATGACAGCCTGAACTAAGTCGGGGCGTGCCGCTCATGTCGCAGCAGGATAGCTAACACTACTTTACTAGCAGCAGCTGTTAATGGTGCCAATTCCGCCCACAGAACTGAAAGCTAACGCAGCTAAATATGTTAGCAATCTTTTCTTTTTTTTACTTTTAGTATATGTGTAAATATATAATTAAATAAACAAGCAAACAAACACAGCTTGTTTAAACTGATTGAACCCCGATGAGAGAGTAAACCTCAGCTCATTGATATTTCTCGCATGTTGGATTGCTGAAATTTACGCATGAATGAAACATGAAACATCCTGCATGCGTTACCGATGTGGTTTCCCGTTGTTGCGGTTGATACTGAGACCGGCACATTATGCCCTGATCCATTCTGTGTTCTTGGTTCAGACAGCAGCTCAGTGGATCGTAGCTTTTGGAAGAAAGCAAGCGGAGCTGAGGGACACGGAGGTAAACAATGAGTGTATGGCTTCGTATTTATACCCACACTGTTAATTAAAGCGGCCTCGCCTCTCGGGAGCCTCCCAGCCGCGGCGACTAAATGTTCTGCTGAGCTGCAGCGAGGCTGCTTTCTCGATGGTGCAGATTAAACAGTGGCGCTCAAGTACTGAGCCAGTAACAAACTGTGAGCTTTCTACTAACAACTCACGGTGTCACGGTGTTAAAGGTATCCGGTGATTCTGACGAGGCCACTGATCGAACCGACTGATGCATTCAATAGGACGTGTTTCCCTGTCAACATATGTACATCTAGGGAGGTATTCATATAAAGTCCGTTCCATTTAGTTAAACAGTCACAAAGGATTCAAAGGGCAATGGATTTACCACTTGAGTTAGCTTAATTATGTTGGTGCCATCTGCTCCACAGGAGGCTCAAAGAATGACAACAACAACAGAATAAAAGGTCCAGTATTCACTCGACCGGCTTCTTATGGGGCCCTGCGTGAACTCACTTTCTCCTGTTGAAGTAAAACCACATGATAGATTTCAGTTTGGTTGTTTTTCCCATGTGCATCTCTCATTGGTTCAAAGCACGCCGTTAAAGACATGCACACCCACGGACCCGTCATGGTTAAGCAACACCTGAATCAGATGGCAGATGGTGGGCTGTTTGGTCACTGCAGATCAATATGATGACACACATGAAGACGTCTTCAGAGAGAAGAGACGATATGAACTTAACCAACACAGCATGGGCTTCGCTTCATTTCATTGGAACAGTTGGACCCGCCTCACCAATGAACAAAGGAATCCAGTCTCTATGCATTTCACAGAAGAGAACACAGCCTTTTTGTGATCGGTAGAATCTGAGAAATCAAAAAGGGCAAAATTGTCGAGTGTCACTCTCCCACCAATTTTGTGGCGACAAAGTGAACTGTAAGTGATGAATTAACATGAATGGTCCATAAATAAAAATAAAAAAGGATTTATGGGAGAGAGGGAGGACCAAAAATAGAAGCAATTATCACGTTCACACTCTCACACTCAGCCAGTGTCATCACACCGCAATCAAATTCTGCTCAGGAGCTTTGTGCTTAAACCCGCGCTGAAATTAAAGTTTTGTGTGAGCATGAAAGAAAACTATTCCGCTAGAAAACCTGCTTACGTATATATTAAACCACCGGCAAAATTGAATGACAAATCCCCGCACCCCCCCCCTCAAAGCAACAGTTAGACGGCTTACCTTTTCTTTTGAAGGCCGGACTTATGAGCACCAGCGGCGTGTTGACCTCTGGCTCGGAGGAGCCGCCGTGGCTGCCGGTCTCCGACATGCCGTGGTCCCCACACAGCACCAGCAGGTAGGGCAGGGATCCCTCCGCCTCCTGACACAAGCAAACGCACAAGGTTAATGGACTCCCACTGCACGTGGATGTGAATAATTAAAAACCTGGCACCAAAAGGAGGATTCTTTTTCAAAATAAATAAAACACACGCAGTGTGGGAAACGGCAATAGCGTTCACAGCTACGGAGCTGGTGGATCGCTTTGATGTGATCATGTTGAGGACATTAAATCATATCTCAGGGCTGAAACTAGATTCGGTGTCGGCGGCAAACAAGCACGGGATGACCGACTTTGATCAAGCGCCGTTCCTCCCCCAGCGATTCCCTTTCAACTAGACTCACGAGAACCTTCCGCTGACGCCGACATGAGGCCCCGTGAGTCACGGCAGTGGGGGCCGCCTTAGAAAAGCACGACAGCAGATGTTAACAAAACAAAAGCCAAATCTTACCACACATGACGATGCTCTCACAAGACTCATCGGCTCTGGCGTGTTGTACCCCACACACGGAAAAAAAGGAAGAATCAAAGACCAGAGACTCCATTTATCATTAAAGATTGGAAATGGCCTCCTTTTCACTCTGCGTTAATAGACAGAAAACGCAATGATTGCTGAAAAGGCCGAGATCAATTGTGCCGTTTTGTGTTTGGAAGCAAAGTTAAATAAAACGCTTGTTTTCCTTGATGAGGACATCATCCAAAAAGAAAAGTCAGCACAAGTGTTCATTTAGGGTGGGGAATCGATTGTTCTTGTCTTTTTGACGCGGTTAGAACGGGACATTAAAACACGATAAACAACGATCCAACAATGCAGGTCGGTGCCAAAACTGTGCCGTTGTGTTACAGACCGAGCCAAGAGGAAGGACAAGGCCTCAGCACTCGGGCGCTGCTGTAGATGGCTTTGAAGAAAAGAATGCAAAAAATAGGAATAAAGAGGAAACACTCCTCTCTGTGGAGCATAAGTCACAGTTCACGTATTCAGGATGAAAGCACACTTCATAAACACTTTATTTTTTTAACCAACACACAAGGTACCATTCAGAATGAGAAAATAGCTCATGTTCTCTACGACCAGGACAGGGAAGACTAACGAATACTAAAAGGTGCTTTGCTTAATGAACAATGAAAACGTTTCAAATAATCTGATATATGAAACATCGATGAGAACATATCTGAGAAAGTGCTGCTGGCGCCAATGAACGCGAACGCCATTAACTCCTTAGATTAGATAAATCGTGCTTTGGCTGTATAGAAGGCGCTGTGGAATTAAAGCTCAATAACAAAACTTCAGTCAGGACAGACTATTGAAGAAAGAGAAAAGAAATGTACACATTTCGACATTTCATTTATCTCTCTTAGAAAATACGTGGCTCAGATTACACGCTGCTCTGCAGGTCGGCTTTGAGCAGTTCAGCACTTCAAACGGCAAAACCAGCAGTCTGAACTCAGAAAATAATATCCAGAGGAGAAGATTGAGGCCATGCGATCTCCATTAACTGCATGGTCTGATGAGGGTCTTTATGACATGGAGGTCCTGCTTTGCAATCACGTTTTAATGGAGAGCTTTGTGTCCTTCCACTCTGCAGGTAGAGCATGTCTCTGCCCCCGATGTGAACTCGCAGGAATAGGCAGAAACTTTAAGGGACACCATTAAAGCGCCACCCTGCATTTCTCCCTCTCCTCCGCCCTGGCGGCCACTCGTGAAGGACGCTCGACAACATTGAAAGCAAGTTGTGATGGAAGGAAACCAAAGTCTCCTTCTTTTGGGGGGGGAGCGTCTAAAGGATACGCTGCAGGACAGTTCTGTCTGTATATTTAGGCCAAAGCGGTGCTGTGCAGTAGAACAGCCACACAGCTTTCACTAGTGGGACATTAGAAGGCGCATTCCTCTCAAGGAGCTCACTGGGAGAACAGACCCAAGGACTTAAGACAGGACGAACAACGGGTGCAACGATTCTAGAGAGGCAGATTGCAGATGTGAGAGAGAGAGAGAGAGAGAGAGAGAAAAAACAAAGGCACAAGACCTGCACGCTGATACGACAAAATAAGCCTTAACAGTTTATTAAATCTCTTTAGTTCCTGCAACAGATAAAATAATAAAAGCTGGCAACGGCAAAAATTATCTGTGTAATTAAATGAGCATTCAAACACCTAACGTGCTAAAAATAAATCCCCCGAAAGCATCACCTTAATATACAATAACTATGGATCATTACCTACGATAAAATGACCTGATATGCAGAATGATACTTACATGATAAAATAACTCCCAGAAGCCTTTAAAATTGCAACATTACATGTTAAGAATTTAAAGGGTTATGTTGAGTTAAAGGAATATGAGTAGAGAGAAAATTTAAATTACGCAGCTATTAGTGGAATTACTCTGAATTACAGAAGCCGAGGCTTCGGGCTCGGTTTTGACCTCCTCCTGAGTGGAGCGGTCTGGCTCTTCAGCTACTGGGCGCTGTGAGGATCTTTAGTGGAAACAATCTGATCAAATTTTCCTCACTAAGCCCCGGCCCTTCCCATTCAAAGACATTTAATCTTCAGTGTTGTTGAGAGGATAGCATTATGTGCTAAATTGATAATGTCATTATATGACCTTTTAAGAATACACAGCTATTAAGGGTTTATGATAGGACAAGGGGACACATAAAGTGCCTATGTTTCAATCCTATAAGTAAGACCAAAACCTTTTTGATAATATAAATCAGCCATATTATAGAGTACATATTAAATAGACCTAGGTATTAGAGGTATAAAGTCATCCTTATTGACACACCAACATATGCGCAGGTGTACTTTATTTTTCTATGTGCATGTCATTTAAAACTGTAAAACGTAAGTATATATGTTGGTGTTGAGTTTGTTCAGAAGTGACAGCAGTTCTGCGAGGAGATGTGACGCATAAGTGCAGGGGATTTATGTGGGGATTTTCCCCGTCGTCGTGCTTTTTTGTGGACTTTCCTGATTCTCCGGACTTTCTGGTAGTATAAAAGGGACAGTTCGCCCGTAGAAAGAGTATTTCTGTTTTCCTTTTGGCTCCTTTTTGTATTTTGCAGTTGGTGAATTTTTGTTGGAGAGACCGGAGACAGTGATAGAGAAGCTGTAGATTAAATGTTGTTATCTTTTTCTTTGTATATATAGATAAGCTCTGACCTTTGAGACGAGGGCGCCGTGAATCTTCTTCAGGACGTCATCCATCTCCAGCAGTTTGGGCTGGATGAGGGAGCTGTGGGGGCCGCTGATGTGACCGATGTGGTCCAGGCCCAGGTAGTGCAGGATCAGAATGTCCCAGTCGTCCCTCTTCAGGGTGCTATCCAAGTGCCGGGTCACATTGTTGTCGACCTAAACACCGGGGAGACACCATGCGCACAAAAACACGCGTTTGAGGTCGGTGTTATTCGAGAGTCGCTCCCCCTCGAGCAAACACATACGGACCTGAGAGCAGCTAAACCCGGGGCGGAGATTGAGCCTCACGATAAGCTGATCAACGTTAGCTAAATAGTACCCAACATTTATGACTACGGCGTGAAGAGCAAACAGCTTCCCTGTGATCCCCCCCCCCCCGTGCGTACCTCGGTGTAGTCGGACACAAAGAAGGAGGTGGTGCCGTCGTGCTCCATGAAGTGCTTGGGGAAGAGACGCACCCAGGTGTCGTCTCCATAGAACACCATCCTCTTCCCCGCCGCCTTGGCCTGCCACACCAGGTTGTCCTCCAGCAGCGCCGGAGAGTTCAGGTTCATCACCACGTCGATGAAGCCCGGGATGGTGCCGGTGGTGAGAGCCTGCAGAGGGGAGATGTTGTGGTCAACGAACAACGGTGGGCTTTTGAAGGCTGTTAAACAAAATTGTTACGCTATTTGCTAGGAAAAGAATGTGCCTGTGCCTTCGCTGCTCTGTGGCTACTTCACGGACGCGGGAGACAAATGGCATCAAAGCTGCTGGGGGGGCATTAAGGTTGCATCATGATGGAATGGAGTCAAGCTTCTCCCACTCAATGACAAAGTAACAAACATGCTTTACGTGCCACTTCTGCCGAATGAGACACGCTTGTAGCTCTGACGAACGAGAGAAACCAAAGCTGATATTTGGGGCCACATCTTCTGAGCTTTGTTGGGGATATCAATCATTTTCCACTTCCTCCTTTCCTTCCTCCTTTCCTTCCTTTCCGATTGTTTTTCTCCCGTCAGCGCAGACGCTCGTTTCAAGGGAGAGCCGCATGGTTCTGCTTCAAAAGCAGTCGAGTCTCTCTTGCATTTGTCTTATTAATAGAAACGGTCAGACCACAGAAACCAGTGGACTTTTGACTTATTTTTTTTGCCTTACTGGTAAAGAACTGTTTGCTATTATAAACTCACAGGCAGACGGAGGGAAGATTAATCAAGAAGTTCACCTCCATTAAAAGATTGAGACGCTGCCCGAACGAACTACCCGCCCACAGCGTGGGGCTAAACTTAAAAAGGTGGGATACTGCATCGGAGGGGATGGGTCACATGAAAAGGTGAACAGTTTCCTTTGGAGTCTTGGTGGATGTTGGCCTTACAGATCAGCCACATTATTGCTGCTGCTGCATGTGATTAATAGCTGAACCCAGTGTCCAACACGTGATGTCCACAGAGTGCCGAGTCACTTCGAGAACGCTGCTCAACGTGGCCACATGTGAACACAGGACCCGTTTCCTCTGCGTGGCCCGGTTAGGAAGAGCAACAGGACGTGTTACACGTAGTGGGAAAACCTCTAGGAAGAGTTTCTGGGAACACAACCCAGCGAATGGCTGAGAGAGATTAGTTAAGACTCCGGATAGGCTCGGTGCTCCCTGACGTCTCTACACGAGTGACGACGCGTGGCGTCAGAGGACTAGAAAGGAAGCCCTACAAGGTCCATCCAACATGGTCAGTTCAGTGCGAGGGGTGTTAGCCAGTTGTGGGAACCAGTTAATTGGGTGCATTGCAGTGATGGTGACCAGTGAATGGCAGCTGGCCTGTACTGCCCTCTACTGGTGCGTCACAGGGCGCAACAATCAAAGGTCAATGCACGAGTTACAACACTCAAGATGAGGACTTAATACTCGTCTTTTTGATATTAACAAAACAACTATCTTGTACAATAAGCAACCACCCACAACACCGTGGCACATGTATGGACTTGAGCTGAAACAATTAGCTGGTGGATTACCAACCAAATCAATTGAATCATGAATAAAGTCGTCACTTTCTTAGCTATTACACAAAATTATTTCCACATTTCCAGGATTTTTCTTTTCCCTGAGATAGACAGAGCCAACATAAACATGACAAGTAGATTTGTTTTTCAAAAACAATGAACCAGCCTTGAACCTCCTGGGACAGAACTCTGTTGCTGAGGCAAAATAAGCTCATTCGTTAAGCTGAGCTTTAACTATTGTTATTGGCTTTTTCATATTTTGGGACAACTTATGGACATAAAAAGAGAATTGATTAAAACCAATCTAATCTGCCGCATTAGATAGTTGAAACCTTTGTTGTCCACTTAATCATTAATATTTAAATTAGCAGCTCTTATGATGGCCTTTGTCATTAGTGATTTTGTCAGCTAGATAATGAAAGTGCATAGTGAAATCCCCCACACGGCACCACGCTCCGACGGGTCTCCGACACTTATCCTGTGCACTGTGCTCGACTCCGCCATCCTCCTACAGCTGACCTGAGAGCTGATGAGTCTGCCCTGTCGTGGTCCTCCCCCCTACACCTGTCTGACCATGTTACTCAGACACCGCCGAGGAGGCACTCTGTGTAGGCTGCAGGTTTATTTTGACTCCAAACCTCATTAAAACAGCTTGACACTGTCAGCAACACACACACACACACACACACACACACACACACACACACACACACACACACACTCCTGACAAGTTCAGTTGGGTGCCTCGGTGCTGCCCCCCCTCCCGAGCTGATCCGGGTACATCACTCTTGGTTGCAAAAATCTCTTTGGCAGCATTGACACAACACGCTGACCCCCCCCGGCCCCCCTCCCCCCCTCTCTCACACAGTCTGCCCACAATCTCAGTATCAGCACAAGCGGCTGTCATGCGGCGAGCGAGACGTGGCCCTCCTGGCTCTGCTCCCGTGACACTGTCACTGTGACAAAGGGTGTTCGCCCTTCTTTTGTTTGCGGTTTCAGGCTGGAAACTGGGTCTCAAAATGATTATTCTGGGCTCACAAGGATTTTTTTTTTGGCTCAGGTCTCAGGCTCATGATCACTTAATCAATGTGACTGATTAATTAATAAGGATTACGGGTATTCTTAAAGCTCTTCTGATGGGCTGGATTAAATATTGGCAATAAAGGGATTTAAATATTTCTTTGCCGTTTGACTCGGTATGAGCCATGAACTTCCAGAGTCCAAATAGAAAACCTACATTTTTTCTTTTGTCCAACCAACAGTCCAAAACCAGAACGTAGTAAAGTAAGTAGTACAACCTCTTATACCCTGTGGAATAAGCCCAAAAGGTTCAGCACTTTTTTCACTACAACATTTACGTTTAGTTTGATTATTTCGTAGTCACTAAGTCACTACTTTCACATGCAAATAAGATTATTACAAATCTATTATTGATTTAATCTGACATTACTAGTTTAGCAACAATGTTAAACTCAACATATTCCAGGGTAACAAATTCATTGCAGGATTTAAAAATACAAAAACAAAAAATCAATAGCAGGAGTTTTTCCCTTCCTGTGGGGAGCTTTGCTGCGTGCTTCTCTTCATCTCTCTGTCACTACTTCATCCAGGCATGAAATACTCAGGAAGTCATTTATATATTTGTACAAACTGAGAAAATTATCCTTCAGTCGCATCAACACCTCCAACACCTCCCTAATGTTACTGCAGGGTGTCACGTCAGACTGAGCCGCATATACTAGAAGTGTACCTGAACAATGACCTGCAGACAACACGTCATGTGCGGTTTGGAAGATTAAGTTTCCTTTTTGATAAGACAAAAAATATATTTGAGACCAGATTTTAGAGATGCACATCGTCAGTAGGAACAGCTGACGGCGCCGGGCAGGGGAGGGGGAGGGGGGGGTCCAGACACATGTTGGCTTTGGTCCTTTTATGACAGAAATACAAATACACATGACAACATAATAAACAGGTAAACGCATCTCTAACAGACTCACGCCACGAGTGGGATGACCTCATTGTTACCTGAGGCTTCTTCTACATCTTTGCACTCTTCCCACTTTGCAACTTCAGAAAAGCAAACCTTCCCTCAGCGCAGGTGGAGCTGCACCTTCTCACCTCTAGTGACACCGTAGCACAGTGGGGAATACCTTGATCCTGGGCATGGTGACCGTGGGGGGTCTGGCCTTGGCCACGAAGCTGTGGGAGGAGCCTCTCTCCACCAGGTGCCTCGTGTAGGGCATGTAACTGCGTCCGTTGGGTCCAAACACGAAGTCCTCCCGCAGGGCGTCCACCAGCATTATTACCACCCTTTTAAAAAGGGGCTGGGGGAGCCGGGAGGAGTTGGGAGAGCTTCCTGTGAGCGAAGGGAGGCAGATTTTTTTGTTTTAAGTTAGGACATGTTTCTCTCGCGCAGAGCGCGCGGGTTAAAGGTCATGTGAGCTCACCTGCCAGCGGCTCCGCAGGCAGATCGGACAGCTTGCTCTTGGAGGAGAGGGAAGACTTGAGGGGTACTGGGAAAAATCCCCGCAGGAAGAGGGCAACGCCGACCGCTTCAAGTATTAAAATGAACGAGGCGAAAACAGACGAGCGCACTTTCATTTTGCCGCTCGGTGGGACACTTAAAAAAAAAAGGACGAGTGCGTTTGTAGGATAACTTGCTAGCTAGCGACCGACGCTACGCTCGCTACTCAGTTTACCAAAGTAGAGAAGATACAAAGCCATGACATCCAATTTGACATGGACGCACTGTCAAACGACACATGTTATTACAAACGCCACGTTGTCGCCATGAATTCAAATGCGTATATATTAATGTGTGTGGCTGTAGTTGCGAATACAAACAGTAACAGCGATTCGAGCTGTATCCTTTCAGCGCAGCTTCCGCATTGACCAGAGCAACTACGGGTACCGCGTAGAACCAAACAAGACCGAAACGCCTTTTGTCCAACGGCGTAACCTCAGCTGCCATCAGTAGAATACATATAATGTAATAATATAATATAATAATGTTTAAATAATACGTTTTGTGCTCGTTGACACAGTCAAAGAGCCATAATAGAGATATCAATATATTTTGTTAAAAAAAAAGAGTAACAATAAAAAATACATAATAAAAAAATAATACAATTCCTGCTGATTTTTACATTTTGGGGACTTTTGTTAGGAACTGCAAAAAGTGTTTGATTATCAAACTGGAGGGTTTTGTCAATACAGTCTGTATTTAAACAGCTGTGGAATCTTAGATATTCATCTGAAAGCACTATGAATAAGCCTAAAATGCTCAGTTTGATTAGTCATGGCAGGTAAATCAAGATTATCCTTTCTCCAACAGAGAAGAATAGCAAAAATACAATTGACGAAACAATGACACCAGAACTACAGAGGAACGGCCATCCAAGGCAGTTACAAGGATCCCTGAATAAAAGTGAAGAAGTGCGTGCGATGAGGGATATCTGAGGTGAGGTGTTTATTGAATCGTGTGCGGCTGTCAATTCGAATGAGGAAAGAGGTGTTCAACTGGATAGATTTTTAATTGAGGTGGCTATTTTGAGCCTCTTTGAGTTACTCAGCAGAGCTTTGTAAACGCCTGCACTTTTTCATAGGAAGCTGAGGCATGAGGGACAGGGGGAGACACAAAGACACAAGACACACAGAGACACACGCTGTCCTTCCTTCTGAATCTTTGTGGGTTTGAGCGGATGCTGCCATCTACTGGGGGCACTGCTTCACAGACCCACACAGCACATCTTGTTTCGGGACATTTCTTATTCATAGTACATTTATTGTAGTAGAGGTTAACCCAAATCATCTCTCGTGGAGACCAGAGCAGGTTGGTCATATACAAAATTAATTCACAAATTAGCTTCAGCTGCTTGTGTCTGTCGGCTAAATGTTCAAACCTGCATATTTTGTATGACCAGCAGTTTAAAAAGGACCTAAATAATCAACCAATTACAGCATCTATCAATTGATTGACTCATGAGCCTCCGGTCGGCAATCTAAACTGTCTCCATTCTATAAAAAACAACTTCTGTTTTATGAAATAACTGCCTACTTCATGATAAAACGCCAAATGTGTTATCATATCCCTGTCTGAGGATTAGCTTTATTAATAAAGCATGAACTACCTCTTCTGACAAATCATCAGATAAACGTCAGAGAGGCAGAAGTGACGCTCGTTGTGCAAATCAGCACAATAACAGCATTGTAGAATCAAAGAGCACTTTATTCAGAGCACATCTAGCCGTTCTCATATAAATACGATAATTACATTTCTATACAATCCTATTATTGGGGTCTATTTGTCTTTCCTCTTCAGCACATTGATGAAGGCGTCTTTGGGAACTTCCACGTTGCCGATGCGCCGCATCTTCTTTTTACCCTCGGCCTGTTTCTTCAGCAGCTTCATCTTCCGTGTTATGTCACCTCCGTACTGCCGAGACAAAAACAAACGCACGTAGAATTCACAGTGTTTGTGCTGCATCGGCACATCCTGCAACCATTAAGCTGAGAAAAACCTTTACTCACACATTTAGCGAGGACATTTTTTCTAAATGCCTTGATACTGAAAAAGAAAAAAACATTAGCGGGTCTTTTAAGGAAACTAAATCCGTTCAGCATATTTCACACACAAATACAATCAATGGTGCTCACTCACGTTTCCCTGGCGATGACCTTACTTCCAATGGCTGCCTGTACAGCGACCTCAAACATCTGCCGGGGTATGGAGTCTTTGAGTCGCTCGCACATGGCTTTCCCTGCGCTGTACGCGCGGCCCCTGTAGGCAAAACGCACCAATCAGAAGGCCGCCAGCAAAGGGGGTCGTGGGGCGGCCGATCGGCGGAGAAGCGTGGCGCCCTTCAATTTGCGCGGCCTGGGCTGGCTTTGGTGGTTAAGCACATTAAACACAGATTTGGAGCGGGTCATCGCCTCCCGCCTGCGGCGTTTCTCCACTGTCCTTGTGACAAATGGAACAAAGTCCTTGTCCGCTGTGTAAAGTCACCGCAAAAGATAATGTCAACACCGGCTGCCAAGAGGCCTTTAAGGTGATCCTGGGTCTCGAATACATTTCATGCTTCATAGGCTCAGAGGAATTGCTATAATAATGAAGGGCCGTATAACATTGAAATTAGGTCGACTCGCCAAAAATTGCCAGTGAGTATAATGCAGCTATGGGGGGGGGGGGGGGGGGTCAGAGGGAATGGGAAGAAGAGCCCCCCAAGCAGCATCAGAGGTACACCTCCAAAGACAAGCCGGGAAGTTTGTAGCCAAATTATATGATATTTTGTTTATAATGAAACAGGTTGTGACTTCAAATAAACTCTTACCGGTGTACAATGGTGATGAGTTCTTCCACGGGCTGCCCATTCAGCAGAATATTCATCTTGATCAAATCAGCAGCCTGGTAGCCTGCATTCTCATAGTCAAAGCTGGGGGAGATAAAACAAAGTCAGAGGGACGGTCTGCTGAGTCTACGCAATGCTTAACACGGAGTCGCAGCAAGTGGTTTAATAAAATGAGAATATGGCTCATTTACTCATTTAAAATGTTGTGTGATGTGACATGCCACAAGATTTAAACTGTGGCTTTTTATGTTGCATCATGTTAAAGCATCTTGTTAGTAATAATAAATCCTCCACAATTAAATCTGATGTGATCAGTTTTTTTTTCTTAGTCAGACGTCCTTCGGCGGAGAGGGGAACCAGTTTTACCTGGCATATCCGGAAGACAGAGATTTGAGAAGGTCGTAGAAATCCACCACGATCTCATTCAGAGGGAAGAGGTACTTCATCATGACTCGCTGTTCGTCTATGTACACCATGTTCTTCTGAATCCCTCTGCGAGTCTTTAACAACACATTTTAGAGTCAGCAAACCAAGAAGCGCTACTTTCACTTATGAAACCGATTTGCCCGTTTCTTTCCTCTTACCAAGCAGAGAGACATGATCTTGCTGGTGTAACTGTCTGGAGCGAGAATGGTCCCCAGCACCATCGGCTCCAAATACTCGGACACGACCGACCTGTCCGGGAACTGAGCGGGGTTCACGATGGTGATCTCCTCACGGCCATGTTCCTGCAGCGACAACACGCGACATCCGAGCGTCAGAAAGAAGCCTTGGATCGTTTGAAAAGACGACACTTAACACTGACATGAAATATTACTGTAAAAGTAACTAGTACCTAAAACCTTTTATTGTAGCTCATTTATTCCATTAACCATCCTCCCCACAATGTAGTGTCTTCATTTGTATTTAAATAATAATCTTGTGTCCTAACTTAATGTATTTTAAGGAAGAGAAGGTTGTTGCCAAGGAAACCTGGACACAACATGCGTGCGTGTTGCAAACCAACATTTCAATTGTCCTCTCAAGTTTCTCCCGTACGTCATCTAACAAGCTCACACTTTCTTTTTGCTGACAGCTCAGAACGAGCCGTCCTGCACGGCGGGACCAGCGGGCCTGTGAGCAGGACTCTTACCTTGATGAGTTTGGCTGAGGAGAGGACGGCCTTGTAGGGCACAGTGGGCGCCGTCACTATAACGGAGGCGTTGTATTCCTGCTCCAGCCGCTGATTGAACACCTCCATGTGGAGGAGTCCCAGGAAGCCGAGCCTGCCGGGGCACAGGGAGGATCGCAGGTCAACCGCGGCTTCATAACGGATATTCATGTATTTGTCTACAGAGAGTCGGGCTGGAAAGAGTTTAAACTTCTGAAAGATGTATCTCCATCATCTGGCCTAATACAACCTGGGATGATAAATAAATGTGCACTTAGCTTGAGGCCAGTTGTTTATTTCCCTATCAATTATATCGTATGTTGTCCGGGGAGAAAAGTCTTCTGCAACGTCACATCAGTTGAAAAACAAACTATAGAATACACTGAGGGAATCAAAGCCAAACACTATTGCCCGTTTCCTTGTGGTATGGCTGCTGCTCTTGTTTTTCTTCCTCTTTGGAGTAAGTTGGATTGGTCTCCAGTTCTCCAGCTCGAGTTGTGCTGTGTCATTAGTTTATTTTCACGCTGCTCCCTTGTGTTGTGCTATTAAAAAAAAATAATAAGAATAATAAATAATAAGAAAAAAACTAAACGGCATGACTCGCGAAGCAGGTCAAAGCCGTCGCGGTTGTACTCCTCGATGTCCACAATTTCCTTTCCCTCTGGCATTCACGTTAAACGTAGTGAGCCACTCCTCTGTGGTGTCCTTCCAATTCAAAGCCGTCGTCCTCACCTCCAGCCCGCTCCCAGGGCCATGCTGCTGTCTCTCTGCACGGTGACACTTGAGTCGTTCAGGGTCAGTCGCTCGATGGCGCTGCGAAGCCCCGCGTAATCCGACTGGTCCATCGGATACATGCCTGAGGGGCGGGGAATAAAAACCCAGAAGAATGCACTCCATCAGCGAAAAAAAGGCCTCGATAAGCACCAAGTGCCCTTACTGTACCAGCTGTGCGCGTCTACTAATCCTGGGATATTTATCATTTTGTGACGTATTGAGTTATTGAGGGAATGTATGTGGAGTTTGAAAGAACGGCATCATTCCACAGAGATGTTGTTTCTGACAGCAGGAGGAGGGCTGACAAAGCGTCTTACCAGCAAACACCATGGCTTTGGCGGGTTTAAACCCTGGGAGAGCTTCCACCGGGTGATCCTGCAGGTAGAGTGTGTCCCCGATCTGGGCCTCCTTCACATCCTTCATCCCGGCTATCATGTAGCCCACTTGGCCTGCGAACCTACACAACAGCATACGAGTTACACAAAAGCAATGTAAACCTTTTTTTTTTTTAAATGAGCCTGTTGCACCTTTGCTAAATGACTGTCCTCTTTTTTTCAATAATTAACATACTTCACACAGACCGGATCGCTGCCTGTTGAGTTCATACAGTCTTTTGCTCCAAACGACCGTCAGAAGATATGGAACTAAGACTCAGGCGATTCCTTTCCAAATCAAAATACCTTTGTACCATTAGCACATGAAAACCTAAAAAAAAACATTCCCTGTAATTAACCTCCAACTTCCTAAAGTACGACCGAAATGAATAAACTCAAGTGTTAAAACAGTAGCAGGTCGTTTTTACTGCACATCCGCTGTAACGGATGAGACAACCGGAGGGACGAGGACGAGGACGCGTACAGCTTCTGTGTCGGGTGCTCATCTGGCCGGAGGAGGCCCAGCTCGTTGACCTCGTAGCTTTTGCCGAGATGTGCTGACACGATCCTGTCGCCTTTTCTAACCCGACCTCCTAACACGGCGATGTTGGCCACCACTCCTCTGTAGTGATCGAAATTGGAGTCAAAGACCAGGGCTTTAAACGGGTCATCGATGCTCGCCACGGGCCTGAGGATATGGAGAAAAGAGGATGCTTCACTTTTGTGTGTCGACCATGTTTCATGTGGGGGAAGCACTTTAACCTTCTTACCGGGGAACTCTGTTCACAACGGCCTGGAGAACCGCCTCGACGTTTGTCCCGAGTTTAGCTGAAATCTGCAACAAAGGCAAAGTAAACTAATTCAGTGTGTTTCTCAGAAAAGGAATCCTGCAAACTAAAAAGCAGTGTTCATGTGCGCCTACTCACCCTAATGCATTCTTCACGAGGAATATCAAACACCTTTTCGATCTGCGCCTCCACCCTGTCTGGATCAGCATTTTTCAAATCGATCTGAAGGAGAAATGTCAAATTAGAGCGACGTGCTGAACACCACTCAAGCAGAAAGATTAAATCAAAAAACAAGTGGCCTCCGGCGCACCTTGTTGATGACGGGGATGATCGCCAGCTGAGCTTCAAAGGCCAGGTAGAAGTTGGCCACTGTCTGTGCTTGAATCCCCTTCACGTGACAAGGGAAAATAATCGTTGAACAGAGCCATTAACGTCCAAAACGATTCACAAGAGAAAACCGACCGACAGACTGGAATCTGGTTTAATACCTGATTGGCGTCGACGATCAGCAGGACTCCTTGGCAGGCCGAAATTGATCGGGACACTTCATAACTGAAGTCAACATGACCCTGCAGACGGCAGGAAGACAAAAGAGGTGAAATGCAATTATTTATCTCCCTTTATGAACAACCAATCCGTGAAATAATAATACAAATCCCAACCGGCTGATCTCTCACCGGCGTGTCGATGAGGTTCAGGAGGTACTGCTGCCCCTCGTGGCTATAAATCAACGAGGCCGTCTGAGCCTTCACTGTTATCCCTCTCTCCCGCTCCACCTGAAGCTTGTCCAACACCTGCTTGTTCTTCGCCGTCTTTGCTATGGCGCCTGTTTATCAATGACACCCATTAGTAACACAATACCTCAACTTGAATCTATTTACTGGGGAGAGAGAGAGAGAGAGAGAGAGAGAGAGAGAGAAGCATGCTCAAATAGTAACGTCATCAACAACCACTTCCACATCACAATGATGATCATGCTCATTAGTGACGGGAGCACAACAATCCAATTACATGCGCTAAGGCCTAAACGCAGATGTGTTCTCCTACCCTAAACGGTTTAAAATCATAAAAATGATTTGGAAAAAAGTTGATCTTGTAAAATGCCAAACGGATAAAAAAAAAGAAAAACTGATATGCACTTATCGTAAGGAGACATACCGGTGATCTCCAGCAGTCTGTCAGCCAAAGTGCTCTTTCCATGGTCAATATGAGCAATGATGGAGAAGTTCCTGATTCTGTCCACTGGGAACTTAGACAGGTCAAGAGTGTCCTTAAAGGCACAAGGAGAGAAGCCTGCAGATTACTGGGACAGTCACCGAAGGACTGCTTAGTGCTGCAGTAATCCATTTGAAATGAATGGCAATATTTTAAACAGATCAATTATCTCTCACGTTCGCACTGTGAAAAAATGCTCCACTACAAGTAAAATTTCTGCATTGAAACATCAGTAATAGTATTTAAGTGTTGTGAGAAGCATACAACATTAAACATGTTATATCTGTTTTACATAAGGGAATAAATTGATCCGACTAATGCTTTTGGATAATTGCAGTGGAGTAAGAAATGTTTGCCTGTGATACGTAACATAAAACGCTGCATTAAAGTCCTTTAAATAATTAAAGTGGCAGACCTACAGCACTTAAGTAAACATTCCAGTAGGCACCACTGTCTCCAGCTGTATACAAGGACCATAATCCTTGTAGTTAACATGATCACCGTTGTGCTGTCTGCTGTTAGTTACCTTGTCGATTTGCGTGCTGACCGTCTTGAAGCCGCCGGAGAACACGGGCAGCCGTTTGATCCAGCGGTGTCTTAACACTGAGTAGGTCATGTTGTTATAGCTTTGTATTTTCCTCCTGCATATTTTGAACTGCAAGACGCGTCTCATTAGTGGCGTTTCACACCACCGCTTCGCCAGAGAAAACGACATTTCGTTAAGCTAACGTTAAGTCACCGACCCGCCAGCATGTAACGTTAGCATACATAGCTTATCCTAGCTGTCATTAGCTAGCTAGCGGTGGTGTGTTGAATGTTTCGGCATCGTCATTAATGAAATGTTGGCTGTTACCACAATGATGGACCATTAGTGGACTTTCATGACCATAAAGCGAACCTATTTTTAAAGCAAGCGGTATTGTGATAACCCCGGTGCGTGAGTTCCTAGGGTGCTGACATTTTAGGTGACGTTCACCCGCATAGCCTTCTGGGAAATGCTGTTTATTTCTTCTAACGGAGACAGTAAAAAAAAGCTAGAGGAGCTCCTACTATAACTTCCGTTTTGTTTTATGCAGAGCGAGAGTGCAACCCGTTTGTCTTCCAAAAATATATTCCTAATGACCTGTTTCAGTTTCAATAAACTGTTAAATCTCTCTATAATTGATTTCTGTGTTTAAATGCTAATATGACAATGCATTACTGCATCCTGTGGTTACTTACGGTGTGGTGTGGTTTTAGGCTTTGTCAATCTAAGGACTACATTTGGAATAATATCCCACTTGAAAACAACACTTAAATGAGTTAAAGGAGGATTACTATCTTGACATACTGTTACTCTTCGAGTATGCTTAAACATTCGGAAGTCCCGCCTACTCAATATATCAGATGAGGGATAAAATGGATATCAGTTGCTATGGCAACGAAGCTACCTCTCTCACAAGAATAGAGGACCGCTTCCCTTCTTCGCGCAGCCAGAGATAATAAGCCTCTATCCTCTCCTCGTCCTTGTGTCCTTTTCGCTTTCATTTGAAATCTTTACACTACCATTCACGCACCTAAGCCCTCTGTTTCTCTTAAAGATAACACGGACCGTTCATGAATAATATCACAGATCACCACCGCCTACATACGTTCCTCCTGCTCAGGAGACATACCAGATTGCTCGGTAGCCCTTATATCTCACATCTCCTACGGTACCGAGGTGTAATTCTGTCTCCCCCTCTCTCATCAGTTTCTTAAACCAAACTAAGACGGCAGCCCAAAACAGACTGCTTCATGTTGATGCAGGATAAACAAGCGTGTTATGATATGTGAAAATATTAAACATAATCAAAAGAACATAATATTAGTTAAATCATCCTCATAACAAAACATTTTTTTTCAATAATCCCAAAATGTGTTCAAGATCATCTTGGAGATTAGAATTCTGTGTTGAAAACAGCAGGATGTGCTGTCAAATGACCTGTGCTTGGCTCAGTAGCTCAGCTATGTGACTCCAAGCTATTCGTTAACGATAGGCATTATCACAAATAGCTTTTGAAATGGTTTAACAGTCCACTATTTATATCTATACTAAACCACAGGAAAATCCCAGTTTCTAACTAAAGAAGATGTTACTACACCTGAGCTTTTCCTGCTATGGCAGGTCAAAGTATCTGAAGAGGTTTGTTAGGTCGGAATGAATTTAGACCTCTCTGGGTAATGAACAATTAAACTCTAATTTGGATGTCTTTTTCAAGAAGGCAAATAAATCAAGTAATTTATAGTTTGCCTCAAAATCAATCAGGATAAGATTCATCAAAGGACACATTTTCTTTTTGCATCAGATGTTTTGACAACTGGAGGAGGAGCTCATGATAATAACAAGGACCTGATTTTTGACTCCGTCTTCTTTCTTACACACACACACACACACACACACACACACACACACACACACAGACACATACATTCATATTAATTGGGTTTATGCGGGTTTGAGGAAAAGAGCTGAAGCTGGTGTCTTTTCTCACTTGTGGTCCTTCTCTCAGTCACAGCTCACCACATTAGGCCGCGGCCACCGTGTTGCCATGGCAGCATCAGCCGAAATGTGGCTGATCAGCCACATTTCACCTTGTGTATTTGCTTTAGCGTGGCATCTTGAGGTTGTGGTCTTTTTTCAATGGTGTTACATTTAAGATCAACAATGTCATTTCAATAACGTTTTTTTTTTTCTGCTGTTGCTTATTCTACACAACATTCAAGAACAAGTTTCTTAAAATAAGACTGTGGTCCAAATTATGAATATGGATTGCACATTCACGATTTGGCACAGCTGTTGCGTAATTACGTTCTGCAGTCAAATAAATCTAATTTAGATCTCAGATCTTTAATCACCGTCTCAATTGAAGCCAGCGTGAAACCATCGCATGTTCTCTTCCCAAATCCACCGTTAAGGGTTGAACTCAACCACCTTGGAACACTATGTGACATTGAATACTCTGTGAAAGATCTTAAATTATGCAGATACTCCAGACGTGCACGCGCCAGACACCACACAATCCATCCGTATTACAGATTGAGGCCACACGGCCTCTGAGCTCCGGGTGAACCGTTTTTTTCCCTGGCTGTGGATGGAGGCGATGGAGCTGCTGGAGCTGCATGGTCCCCGGCAGCTCCGGGGCATCGCCTGACAGGGAGACAGCGTCCTTCCCTGATGAAGAGGCGGGCGAGCTGCCACGCGCTCACAGTCCCACGCGATCTGACTGGGATCTGTGGGGAATTGATGTGGTTATCTGTGTTTCAAGGGAGAAGCTGGAACTGTCTGAACACTGCAATGCACGGAATGTTACTACACGTTTCTTTGAAGGGATAAAAGTGATTCCCATCAGAGTGAAGATTACTTCAGTAGCACTACCTATATATACGTTTTTTATGTGTGTGTGTCTGGGGGTTGTTGTACAACCTTTTATTCCTACATACAAGGTGTAAAACTGATTTTCTTCAAGGAACGTATTGTCTGATCGTAAGTGAGCACATATTCAGAAGTCACTCTGAAAAACCTTTGACTCTGTAATGTGAGGAATTTTGAACCTGACTTTATCAAATTTTAAGATGTAGTAGGGAATGTGTGCTAATTAACACAAATCTTATAACGCAATGCAAAGTCATTGTCTGTAAGAAAACAATAGCAAAGTTTCTATTAATACATATTTACCCTATTCAACTGTATGTGTCACTTATTAACTTACCAAAGACAATTGAATTCAAATGCGCGTTTAAATATATTACAGATATTGGTCAGTGTGTTTTAAAAAACTCTCAAATATCAATATCAGTTTAAAAAATGTGGCCTCGGTCAGTCGGTGGTTTAAAAGCATGGCACAATGAAGACCTAAATAATTGAAATGATATGTGTTTTTTATTAGAAACTGTGCACTGAATCAGGCATCCACCTTGTGAACAATCACTTTATCTGGAATGTTTAAGATTTCTATCAGGATGTTGAAAAAAATTGGAGTTAAAAACCAATTGATGCCCAACAACATAATAAAAAAAAAAAAATCTTCATGCAAACTTTGATTCAACAGTGAAATTAAGTTAAACTATCAATGTGAAGCAAAATCCTACCTATAAAAGGTATAACACAGTTCCAAACCGTATAAGGCTACTGATATGGGGCTGAACATGATATTTATAGAGGAGCCCGATGGAGCGACTCGGTCTTCAAAATAGACGCATACAACAATAAGCTCATAAAGTAGAATCACTGGTTGTCCCTGTTGTATTGACGCTGATGGCGATGGATCGCATGATGACTGTTTATGGCTTCTGAGCTGGTCTAGAGGTTCTGGGTAAACAGCAATCAATCTGCATACAAATATGAGTTGAAGCTACAATTTCATGATATTAATAAAAAAAGAATAAATCCGTCCCAAATCCTGGCTGGGTAGTCTCACTTCAGGCTTGTTACATAGGAGAGTTTCTGGCAGAGGAACGTGACGTCATCCACACATGATTCACGCGGTTCATCTGGCACAGACCGACCGGTGTTTGCAGGCCTATCCCTCTCATATCTGTAATTGGTTCAAAATAGCTTGTGGGATCATTAAATGTGTTGTGATGAGCCAGAGACTGGATATGAATAATAACCTAAAACTTGTAATGGCAGACGTGCTGATTAATTCTGCCTTGGTGCTCCAGTTTGCTCCGGCACAGAGACAGACACAGAGTTACCTCCACCATCATGGGAGGGAGGGGGGGGCAATAGAAACATGTGTAAACCAGTCATTGGTATATGAACGCATTTGTTGGTTAATTTTGATCAAATAAATAAATGTGCAGAATAGAATAAAAGAGACGTAATGATGAAAAGAAATTCATATTAGTGTGCTTATTCAGCAAATTGTTTGAAATGCTTTTCTTCAAAATTTGCAATCTCTAAATTTAGTGTATTTTTTAAGAGACGTTTTCAGTTTTATTGATAGGCAAAAGAATCATTTAAAAAATCTGCATGTGCCAATGCTACTGTGAGAGGCGTCCCCCCGACCGACGTACAGACACAAAATAGTCGCCAGCTTGGCTGCTCGGATTGCTTTCTCAGCCCCTCGTGGCTCAATTGTTTGGGATTTTAAGCGCTACAGAACATTGTTCTTAAACCGCACTGTACTGTATCTAGTGGCAGACTGAGATTAAGCTAAGCAAGCAATTTAGCTGGCTGGTGAGGAATTCAAACATCTACAAGGCTGAACTCAGGAGTTGGTGGAGACCAAAACAGAGCGAGGATGAGCGAGCACATTTGTAAGGGGGAAACACCGTCCAACGTGATGATAATGCTGCTACTGTCTGTCGTTTGCTTAAATAGGCACTTTGTTTGCTAATATGTTGGGCAAAAACATTATCAGACAATGCTCAGTTGGGGCTGTGTGTCTCTGATCTTAGGGCCCTCTACAGGTCACGGATTAAACCTCCATTTTCAAATGTTAATCGTTTCCAGTGAAAATAGATTTTTGCATCGGTCGTTTTTCTTTTCCCAAAAGAAAGATCACACTCTGAATATCAACTTTTCCATATGTCGGGATATAAACCACTTTCTGACTGTGTGACTAAATAAAGCATTCGTGACATAACTGAGACTTTTACCTCGACACACACTGTGTGCATCTGGAGTTCAGCTTCTTCCGTCATTGTAATGTTAATAACTTGTATCAGAACTAAACAGTATTTAATGCACAAGCACACTAATGCTGCAGCTTCCTATGTTTAATTTTTTCGGGCTTGGAGTGTTTCAATAATTCTTAAGGTCAGTGAGATTGCAGCCCCATATCTGCAGTCAAAGACAAGAAAACAACGTTTACACAGCGACAGTGCCTGGAGTGGGCGTTACCTGAACAATTCAACACTTTTAGAAATAATCCTAAATAAATGTGTGTGTTCGTGTTCATGTGTTTGCTCTTCATTGGATTTCTATGTACAGTGGCCCCATACTGTAACTGGAAACAAACCGTCAAGGAAATATGCACTCTAATCAAAGTAATCACATATGTCACCATGAATAGAAAGGTACACACACATTTACAAAAGCCGACCTTTTCAAAAGTGCTGCAGACGGTGTAGAAAACAGGCGGAGATAGAGGATCACACCGCAATCCAGGACGTCACTCTGCAAAGGTATGTGTGCAGAGCTGCTGGAGGTATTTGGTTCGTCTGTTAGTCCCCGGACCAGAACCCGTCGAAGCTGGCCTCTAAGTGGAGGGGACCATGTCCTTTATAATGGGTTCTCTGCTTAAGTAGGTGGCCCAGTAAACCAGGTTGAAGCTGCCAAAGAGAACCGGAAACAAAATCCTTGACATCCGGTCAATTTTGCTCACGCTGTTGAACGTCTTCTTGCTGTCGGGGACTTTGCCGTCCGCCCGCTGCTTGTTGGGATCCATAGCTCCGCCTTTGGCGATGGTCGGTAGCGTGCCGGAGTCCTTGGTGATGTTTGGCGCGTAGTTGGCCACCGCTACGGCGTAGGCATTGTTCTTCTTGCCGACAGACGCCCTTTCTTTTTTCTGTGTGAAAACACAGCGAGCCATGACTTTAAAACACACGTAAACAAAGGCAATGGCCGGCACCCGCAGGATATTTGAAACTTGACCGCTTGGGCGATTCTTACGCAGTCCCACTGCTTTGTTTGGGTTGAACAAAGCAAAGAATCAGTGTGGCCACAGATGCGGTAGGTCATCGTACACCATGATCACACAGAGAAAGAGTTAAGATCGAGAAGATTTATATAGAAGTGTTTGATCGACTACGGTGCATTTCCAGCCCCATGGTGAACATGCCAATGACGTGCATGTGCAGTATTGCAGTTTGAAGTTGAAGTTTTTTATTTTACGGCTCTTTTTTTCGACATAAATAACTGTTTTAGAACATATTTTTGAAATTCTGTTAGGTTACTGAATTTTGCATATATATCTTTGACACATATCATTTGTGCGAGCACATCCTTTGTTGGTTATTCACGGTAATTGAGCCACGTGGTGTCGGGTATTGCAATGAGGATGAATTGTTTAGTTTAGTGTGGTAAATGGGAGGAGAGGGGGTGAGAGCGGGAGGCCTATTTTTGTAGACTGCTAAATTACGCTCCATTCATGTTATTGTCATCATTATCGCTGAAAATGAACTTTGTCCACCAGAAAATACATTCTGAGGGTTTTGAATGTGTGCTATGTTTTGGTTCAGCACATAAATGAGGTTGTTTAAGGCTGCCGCGTACACAGGTTAATCTCCCCGGTTGTCACATGGAGTCTAGCTCGATTTATAGCTTTATATTCCTCGGTGATATGTTAACATGCTTCCCCTGTCACGGTGTGGTTCACTTCCTGTTGTATTTTGTAGTTTTCTGCCACTCGTGTCCCCGGGTAACTTCACTTCCTGCCTTGTCCCGTCATCCCCTGTGATTGTCTAATAGTTTCCACCTGTGTCCAATCACCTGCACCTCCCTTGTGTATTTAAGCCGTGTGTCTCTTGTGTCACTTGTCGCGTCATTGTCTTTCGCCACGCATGTCCGTGTCCCTTGTTGTGGGTATCTGTAAGTTGCATGGCTGTGTGTTTTTGCCCCTTGGCCTTTTGGATTTTTTGACCTTCGACTATTAAAGTCCTTTTGTTCCTGCAAGTCTGCGTTTGAGTCCTGCCTTCCACCCTCATCCCTGACATCCCCCCTCGTCACCTTTTCGGTCACGATGCTCTTCCCGTCCCAGGACCAGCCGCGCTTCGTGAAGTAGTTGACGGTGGCGAACTCGATCAGGGCGGAGAAGACGAAGGCGTAGCAGACGGCGATGAACCAGTCCATGGCGGTGGCGTAGGCGACCTTGGGGAGGGAGTTTCTGGCGCTTATGCTCAGCGTGGTCATGGTGAGGACAGTGGTTACGCCTGCAGACGCACAAATAGAAAATTTCGATGATGTAGAAACCGCTTTATATAACAAATGTTTATATGTGACACTGTAAAAACATCCCTTTACAGAATAAGAGCAAGTCATGAGTGTCCCTTTGTGTCTTTACACCATAAAGTCAGCCCACTCTGCCCTAGAAACCGCTGACCTTCAGTAATGCTTTAATTGCTGGACCTGGGTGTCTGTCTGCGAGCTAACCAGTCTCACTGGTATTAGTCCCAGTGGGCTTGCATCAGCCTCTGAGAGTTATCGTCTCCGTCCTCTTTGTCCTGTTTTGTCCCATTTTCACCATTTGTCAGCAACTTTCCCTCCCTCGCTGGGTTCAGTCCCCTGGCGCTGACGGACAGAATTTTAACGTAACTGGGGCAAAATCCTCACGTGTGTGAGATGCTTAATTACATAAAATGCTGCTATACATGCTGCTGTCTGTCTGGCCTTTGTCTAAAAGGTGCCGCCCCCACACAATCCATCAAGAGACTTACCGAACACGGTTCTCGCCGGTACCGATTCTCTATTCAACCAGAAAGACACTTGGGAGAGAATGACTGTCATGATGCACGGGAGGTACGTCTGGATGACAAAGTAGCCAATCTTCCTCTTCAGGTGGAAATGAGCTGTCATCACCGTGTATTCACCTGTGGGGACGAGAAGCCTCTCTTACCAACATGTGTCAGAGGGTGTTGGAGTTCTTCTAATCACTTATTTCTTTTGATGAATACAATCATCGACACAGTAATCTCAGCTCGGTTTATGTCAGATGGCTTCAATTTGTTTTTTTGGCATGCTTGCAACTGGAACCTGTGTTTGAAGGTCATGGATGTTCTCTTGAGGAGTAAAACAGATTAGATGCAGCTGATGAAGAAGAAATTATGTTTGGTTTAATGATTACATGCAACATAACACCTAACAATATCAAAATGTGTCAATGCAAATCTGCTCTTGTTTTCTTCAAAGGGATCATTATAATCATAATAAATGTACTACTAATTATATATTATATGGCAGAGGCCATTTTGTGAATCCCCCGTATTACAACTGCTAACTATACCACTACAAAGAAGGCAAAAACGCACTAAACACTACAAGAGAAGAAAATCTACATCTACTGGCATCACAAATAATATCTGAATAAGAGTAGAAAAGCTGAATTCTTCAAATGAAAGGCTAAGTTATTGTCATTGACGAAGATGCTACTCTTCAAACCAAAACACAACACTTATTTGAATGGATTTGATTTCGCAACTTCCACCTGATTAAGACATTTAAAAGGGATCAATGATAATTAATAAGTCCACCATGATGATTCTTCTGCATTAGTCAAATGTAACTAAGCAAGTGAAACCCTACATCTCCCTAGTGTTTTTTAGACTGAAGGATAGATAAACGTTACTGTTAATGTTTAAGAGAAGCTTGTGGAGAAGGATGGAGCCGGAGCTCAGCTTTTAACAGTTCATATTTGATCAACTAATCCATCCGTCTATAGAAAAGTAGGCAGTGTGATGTCTTCGCCGCTGAGCAAAGCCTAATAGCGGATGAGGCCGGGAAACCATGCCAGTGCTGCCGCAGCAGGCGGGCCTTTCCAAATGGAAGATATCTCAAAGAGAGGCCAAGATTAGACGTGAGGAGAGAAAGATGTGTTCTCCATGGCAACGGAACAGAGAAACATAGCTCATTTGCTGCGATCCTGAAATGAAGGCCTTGATACACGCTGCCACTTGGCAAGAGGAAAGTCCCTTTCAGCAGTGGGAAAGGTGTTTGTGTGTGGTTTCAATTCCAAGGAATAATCCCAAAATATTTATTTTTATTCCTTGTGGCTCCGTAGTTGTGTTGCCTGCTTTTTCAGCAGTTGTGGGAGGACTAATTCTCTCTCTCTCTCTTTCACCGCGCACACAAACACCCTCCCCCCACAGAGGTACTGGAGTTTAGCGGAATGCACTCTCAGTACCCCGTGGAGCTCTATACCTTCTGTAATTTAATTTGCATGGCAGCTCCGACGCCTGTGTCGGGGATGTGGGAAGAGGGGGGAGCGCGAGCAAGAAAAGCGGCTGACTTCTCTCCAGCGGAGCCTGTGATCGCTCCACCGAGGGCCAAGGCCATTACAAGATTATCACATGAAGGTGATTATCGTGTGGCGTCCCCCTACAGATCAATGGCCCCTGCTGGCGGCGAGGGAAGACCTCGTTTCCCCTCAGGACACACCGGGCAGGGTCTCACACAGGAGATGGCCACAGGGCTTGTAAAGATGTACCACTAAGAGATACCTGTTGATGTTTAAGGGGGCTTTGAAATAAGTGAACTCCTGTGTGTTTACTTAGGAGGGATTTACTTACAGTGCAGCCCTTTTTAGGAAGTCTGTAGCTTAAGAGACACAGCAGAGATTTACTACTAAAGTAAATGGGGATTAGTGAGCTATGCATTGGGCAGAGGCTGAGATACCTTGACTATTAATCCTTAGTGTGGGTGAAGGTAAAGTTGGTCTTCCCATCAGGCAACTCAAAAGGGATTCAGAGAAAAGGGGCGAGGGGCTTAGCCCCAAGGGGACTGATATATTTGCATATATAGATATATAAAAACCAGAACGCACGCACATATGTATCGTTTTCAAGTTAAAAATAAACTGTGAAAAATAATCATTTAATTTAATGACATTACCAAAATAATTAATAATAATAATAATTTAAGTTTTTATATAATATTACCAAATTATTTGGGGGGGCTGAAGAACATTTTAGGGGGGGGTTCATATAATACATATTGTGTACAGTGAAGTATTACCACATTCCGTTCTGATTTGTTTTCATGTATAATGCATTAGACAAAAGATGTTTTCAGCAGAAAACAAAACATGTGCGTTTCGTGGAAACTGGAGCAGTGAGTGCTTTTAAAGTAACAAGTTCAACGCGGCCATGTGGCACATGCACGTATGGCTGAGTGCTGGGACTTTTGCTACAGTGTGTTGGTATATTCGGGGGCTTATGCAAGATGTCCGTCCCCCACAAGCCCCGAGAGCACACTCGTTCGTGCCAAATGACCTAGTTTGCAAGTGCGCTACACCAAACACTGACACACTAGTGATGAATAATTAATTTAAAGGCAGCCAATCAGATAATGTGGAGTGACTAGTTAAACAGGAGAAAGAGTCCCGGGCAGGAAGGCATTCTGCCTTCTACCGAGGCAGCGCACACCACTTCACCTAGACAGGAGCATTTCGAGCGTGGAAGGATACTCTTACGCAGTGAAAAATGAAGCAGGGATTCCCCTGTGACAGTGGGGAGGTACTCCGTGCTGGTGATTGAAGCCTACAGGGGGTAGTGGTGGAGCGCTGGCAAGGCGGTGAAGTCCATTCAAAGCGTTTTTTCCGCATGTGAGGGTGAAACGTGATGAACCTGTTTAATTGCTGCACGCTCAGGGGAAGGATCCCATCGACGCTACGTTGGGGTTTTTTTTATGAGTCGCGATCGCAATCAAGGACAGCAGGTGCGGATTTGACACTTTTCTGTGCTTTCAACAAGAGCTCTTTGAAATACGCGCTCACGCTTTGGCCTAAACAGAGGAAGAGGCTCATGAGGAAGGACACTCGATGGGCCTGCTCTGAGACATAAAGACCAAGCCGCTCCTCCGCGCTGACTTTAGTTTGCAAACTTTTACTTCCTTAAGTCTTTCCATGACCGTCAAAGTCTTTGTTCTTTATGTTCCCACTCAGGATACTCATTGTTCTCGTTTCCAACACAGAACAGAGCGGTTTTGAGTGTCGCAGCTCATTTACTACACACGATTGCATCAGCGACCTTGTTTCCAACGCAGGCTTGATGTTTCTGCGAGCGGATTTTCACACACAGTCTGACAAGCCTGTCTGTATTCAAAGACGCATTTCAAACATTAAGATTTGAAAGATGGCCCACAGTGATGTTAGGCAGGCGCTATTTAAACAAAACGAGCTAAAATATGTAAAAAGACATGGTGTGTTGGTAATTAGAGCACGACTGCACGTTTCTCACCATTATGATTCACCGTCCTACTAGAACTGTGTCTCGGAAGCTTCTTTTATTATCAGTAGTATTTCTAAAATTAGATCTGCACTGTACTTGCTTTCAGGTCTTTATATTGGTCGTTATAATCTTCAACCACCCATCAACACCACTAGACTCAAATGGCATCATTGTTCCAGGCTGTGTAAAATGCTGAGCATGCAGCAGGCACTCAGAGAGGATGCTGAGGCCCGTCGGTCCCGGTGCATTTTTCTTAACAAACAAAAATAAATTGAAAATAAATAAGACATAACAAGAGGCCGAGACACGACCCCCCCAAAGAATGCCTGGTAACGCCCTTGTTTGTTTGTGTGCACCACACCCTAAAAGCTAAAACCCCTACTGATTTTATGTATTTTCACACGTTTTGAATCTTGGATCTGTGGATAATAAAACCATTCCTTCTAAAAATTACAATCCATCCATCCATCTTCAACCACTAATCCGGGGTCGGGTCGGGGGGGCAACAGAACCCGGACTTCCCTTTACATCATCTACCAGCTCTAACTGGGGGGTCCCAAGGCGTTCCCAGGCCAGTGCAGAGATATAATCTCTCCACCCAGTCCTGGGTCTTCCCCGGGGCCTCTTCCCAGCTGGCCGTGCCTGGCCGTGCCTGGAACGCCTCCCTAGGGAGGCGCCCAGGGGGCATCCTCACCAGATGCCCAAACCACCTCAACTGGCTCCATTCAACGCAAAGGAGCAGCGGCTCTACTCCGAGCTCCTCACGAATGGCTGAGCTTCTCACCCTATCCCTAAGGGAGACGCCAGCCACTCTCCTGAGGAAACCCATTTTGGGTATTGTACCCGTGACCTAGTTCTTTTGGTCATGACCCATCCTTCATGACCATAGGTGAGGGTAGGAACGAAGATTGACCGATAGATTGAGTCACAGCGGTACGGTAAAGCGAGTGCAATACTACCCTACCGGAGTAGGCAATCCTTCGGTTTCCTGCTGAGAACCATGGCCGCAGATTTAGAGGTGCTAATCAGGCCATCAGGACCACATCATGCAAAAACTACGACTACGCCTCAATATCCTGTCCATGAAAACCACAAACAGGATTGGTGACAAGGCATCGGAAATGCCTCAGACTTACTCCCGAGCACCCGAACACATCTCTGGGTGTATAGGCATTGGATGGTCCAGTCAGATCCAACTGCGCTCCATCTCCCGCACAAGCTCCTTCCTCCCCAGAGAGGTGACGTTCCACGTCCCCAGAGCCAGCATCTGCCCCCTAGGTCTGTTCCGTCTAGAGCCTCCACTGTCACTGCCATCCTTGTAGCGGCGCATCCGACCCCATCGGTTTCCCTCACAGGTGGTGAGCCCATGGGAATTAGAGTTTCAGGGTCCCACGTCACTCCTTTGGGCTGTGCCCGGCCGGGCTCCGCGGCAAGCCTGGCCACCAGACGGTCTCTGTCGGGCCCTCCATCTGGGCATGGATCCAAATGGGGGCCCCGGGCTTCCTCCGGGCCGGATAGCTCCTTCCCTCTTCCGCTTTTTCATAGGGTCTTTTGGACCATTCTTAGTCTGGCCCCTCGCCTGAGACCACTTTGCCAAGGGTAACCCTACCAGGAGCACAAGGCTCCAGACGACACAGCCATCAGGTTCATAGGGACACACAAACCTCTCCAACACAATAAGGTGATGGTTCCCCAGAGATTACGATGTTCTAAATTGTTCTAAATACAATTTGAAAAAGGAGTGAACAGAAAAACACCTCACACGTCCATTTTCTCCATGTGTTACCGAATGCTAGTGAGGACTCGGTAGGACACAACTGGGAAGGATGCATCCTACACATAGACACGCGTGTGCACACTCTTCTGTTCTGGCCTTGGTGCTTATGTGTTTGCATGAAAAGTATGTTCTATTTTGAATACTAATTACCTAGTTCTTCTAAAACAAAATCATATTATTCAATGTAATTTGTGTTTGTTGTCTTCTGTATTCACTTTGTGTACAATATGCTTGCTGAAAGAATTTTATATTATGTACAGACCTTGAGACAACACGAGCAGTGGACTTGGTTACTGCTATATTTCTTGCATCAACACAAGTGTAAAGATGATTTTCACATGGACGAGGAGACTTGAAGGAGGAAGAACGGACCGCCTCGCTAAGCCCTTTCCTTTAGTCACTGTTTCTATGCCTGGCAGGCATTCTACCCTTTATACAGGCAACATACAGCACTTAAGCTACATAGGGTTCAAAAACTTGTAAATAACCTCCAGAAACCCTTTTATTATATACTTTTGGTGTAAATTCCATAAAAAATAATGTTTGCGACACTAAGGTAAGTAGTCAAATTAAGCTATCTAGCCATGCATGTTAATGCTTACAGCTCACGTTAAAGCACGAAAACAACACGGTTAAACATTTGTATTTTAATGAAAGGCTGAGAGGAAGCCTCCACCCTCCAAACTATTCGAATTCAGTGTATCTCTGTTAGGCTGCATTCACTGGGAAACAGACACGCAAACTTCATGCCAAAATAGGCAAACCGTCAGACTGCAAAATGCATGACCATATGTTGCTATAGCAATGGAATAGAACATATATAAAATACAATTTAGTTTCCTAGTCATTTTTCTAGCAATGCATGGGAGCTGTAACATGTGGCTTCCTCTTATTATTCTATTCTATTATTCTACAGCAAACTCCCTTTTGTGAGCGAGATGCGTTGCATCCGGTTTGAAATTCGTCAGTGGTCTCTTCAAGTCCATGTTTTACAACCCTGGACACAACCAGAGTTAATCATCCTGCTCACTAATGAGCTTGTCCCTGATGGATTCCCTTGCTAACGTCTCCGGCAGGTCCATTTGAGTGAAATGCCACGTTTTCAACGCACACTGAAATATTCACTTCCTGGCCCCAGAACGTTTTCTTTCTGTCATTTTGCGCATCACCGCACATTTGTGAGGCATTGCTGTGTCTTTAGGCACAAACGTAAGACACTGAAATCACAGAAGAATACAGCAGCTCTTCTTTTCTCCCGCAGCGTCTCTGCTAGTGACTCTGACAGTGACAACAGATAAATGTGCTCCCTCATGTCTAATTCTGCATCAGTAACTGTCATCGGTCCTTTTTTAAAATATTATTAATTTAAAATGCATCCAAAGAAACTGCACTGCTTGGGAATGTCTGCTCATCTTTGTTCTCCTGAGGTGAAAAGGAGGTTACAAAGTGGAGCAGCTCACCTGTTGTTCGGCTGGTCTCCAGGCAATGCTAAATGCAGGATTAACGTAATATAGAACAGAGTAGGGAGTTCAGGATGCGTGACTGTCAAATCCCCGTTTAGTCAAATGTCGGTGGCGCAGAATGAGCTTGAACAAATGTTTCTCTGTATTTTTCATGCCAAATAAAGTGAATTAAAAAAAAGACAAGAAACAAACGTGTTTTAACAGCGAGCCTCGGCGGCCTGCCGCAACATGTAGGGCCTAACCGCCCTACATGCCCCAACCAGCACAGGAGCCTCGCTGTTTTCACATTCAAACTTTTGTGGAACTTTTAAGATATGTGTGTTTTTGACAAAACAAAGAAGAAGTTCAAAGCATTCAGGTTTTCAAGTTAGAGTTGTGGTTCAATTTGGTTTTGTGCCAAACGGTGTTCTATTTTAGTGGAGTGGCTTTGTAATTTCTTATTGACAAAGAATGTGAAAATACCCGATCCGGTTTCTTTGCTATTTTTGAGAAGTTTAAAGGAACATCCACGCCACATGATGGAGGTCAGTGGAAAGTGGAGGAGTGATGAGGTGGATTTAGTTTCCTTCTGATGTGGAGGTCTATTGCCTAGACCTCCACATCAGCTTACCTGTACTCGATATGATAGTCTCTTGTCCGACCGTTTGTCCGAGCAGGTCGTACTGGTTCAAGCGGGAGCTTTCTCCTTCCACCTCCACAGAGGCAGACGCATTTCGAGTCCAAGTGTAAGTCACTTCTGAAATTGTGTACGCATCTGAAAAAAAAGAAGAAGACAATAAACTCATAGGGGATAAATCTGGGGCAGCTAGAGCTATTGATGATTTTTCAAGAAATTACTTCAGTGACCCAAATGAAAAGCCCTGACTACATTGTGCTTGAAGCTGCGTTTCTAGAAAAAGAAAAAAAGAGAGAATGCTGCAGAGAGGAAAAAAATCTCTCAGTGGCTGACGATGGAATTCATAAAACGCCAACAAGCAATTGATGCACAGTGACATTTGCCCTTTTCAGTCACAGCGTACACTGAATAGGATATTTTAAGCTTGTGCGCTAGCATATAAATGTCTGATGAAAGAGGAATAAATATATTTTTTAAGATATGTCATGCTGCAGATGCTGTATTGTTTGCAATAAATGAGATTCATGTAAAATGCCATAAGCATCACATACATGTATTAACAATGTATTGAATTCATATGAGAAGTCAAGGCGTTTCAGGCATGACCCACCATGTAACGGCTCTGATAATAATATTCTTTGTTTTTACCAAAATCTTAAAAGCAGTATGAAGCCAAAATTCTTCATCTAAATGTATAGGCACAAATTGGGATTACAACCAATTCAAATAAAAACATATATATATATTAGGATGAGATAAAAGTCAGTTTTCCCATTGTTCCCAGTGACATTTCAATCAGTCTGTCAGTTATTCTATAAACATCTTTTTAATTGCTGCATGTTTTATTCAAACAGAATTAGAAAAGAAAAGTGATCTGTTCACTCCAGCAGTTTGGCTCTTATGCCTTTGCCAAAGATCTAGTGAGGAGGAGTAAAAAAGGAAATAAAGAATATAGCATTTTACTCATAGGTCCCTCAGGCGCTATTATCATCAGAGTTACTCACAGCTGCCAAATTTTAGTGGACAGGAATGAAAGTCCATGGGGAAATCCTCCAGATGCATTGGGCACTCTGCATGCACAGTTAACCTGCATCCAATTAACAGAAAATGAAGGAGACTTTGCAAATGCATGGAAAATAAATAGCACAGATTAGGCACCTTTTGAAACAAAATAAAAGAAGCCTCATGCACTATTCTAGACGCCTCCCATCTGCAATGCCTTGAAACAAAAATAATTCATCTTAACTGCAAAGGCAGAGCGGAAGTAAACACGGTGCTGCAAAGACCAGAAGAAATCAAAAGAGCTACGTGTGCCCAGGTGAGATTGTAAGTAAGCTCTTTGATAGCAAACTGCATTTCATGCAGCTACGCTACTATGCAACAGTACTCAACTGTAACTTTGAAAATGACTTGCAATTGTTCCATATTGGTTCAGATGTTGGCCAAAATAAGCTGCATGAAATAGAATGCATGAAGAAATTATTTAAACATTGTATGTATGTATGTATTTATGTATGTAAGTATGGTCGCACTTTAAGGTGAGCTTTAGTATTCTAGAACGTGACCAAATAAGAGAATTAATACAAATCTTATATCTGTACTCTAAATATTACGCTACAGAAAGTGGCCTGTTAGCTTAGCTTAGCACAGTAAACAGCGAGACTGGCTTTGTCCACACAATAGCTAGAAAAAAACAGCCTGCCAACACTTCTAACGCTCCGTTATTAACATGGTGTGCCTTCTTTGTTTAACCCCAAAGTATAAAAATGCCATATTGGGATTTTATGGGGGATTAAATAATCTCATTTTAAGATGATGGGGTGCTAGTAGGTCCATATTTAGCATACAGAAATGAGATTGGTGTCGCTCGGCTTGTGTAACTCGTATTACCTAGAATGCTGCACTGTTGATTTAAATCCATCTAAACACAAATAGAACTTTGCGACTCTCTCTTTAGACACGCTACATGGACTTGGATTACCTCATAGTGTACAGCAAAGTGCCATCATCTTTGATCCTCAGCAGCTTATTAGGCATGGTCATGTTGTGAGCCACAGACTTTTTCCCATTGTGGAAGAAGGTGTCCGGAGTCCAGATTTTACTGGCCATCAAGTTGTTGAGGGGCAGAATATTCATCGGACCGTGAAATTTCAACCTCTCATCCTTCCAGCTTTGCCGGAAGAAAACGTCTATGGTGTATTCCTGTGGGCAGAGGAGGTATACATGAATAAATAATCAAACTGTGTTATTACCTTATTCTTATGCTTCAAATTTGCACTATATGAAAATGAGCCCTGTTTCCGCTGAAAAAACAAGAAGCTAAATAAACCAAAGGGCACTTTCCACTGCCCTGTTTCATCAAGAGCCTACAAGCAGCGGCTCTTCACGACTGACTTCACCTGCCACTTTAAAACCGGTGCGCCGGCTGGCTCCATCCATTTGTCAAAGCTCTCCGTCGGGTGAGTTTCGGACTCCCTGGGTTCCTCTCAGCTCTCTGAGCCGCTGTTTTTTCCGTAGCGGGCTCCAAGGCCAGAAAACGTTCTGGGCAGAAAGCGCCGTGAAATGTGTGCGCGCGTGAGAGCGAGTGAGCGCATGTCAGCGTGAGAGGGAAATAAATTCCTCCAGTGTTTTTCTTCACTATAAGTATAAAGTCTTTCTTTTCTATGGAATGCCGTTTTAGTCAAAATTAAATAAATGAATAAATACATAAATACATGAAATATGCATTTCAAATACATCATGAAATAAATAAATGAGGAAATAAATACATAAATATTAAATACATTTAATTATTTCATGGTACTTTTATTTCATAATGCCACTTTTCATTACATGGTACTTTTATTTTATAATGCCACTATTCATTTCCAGAGTCTTTTATTTCATAATGCCGTTTTACATTTCCAGAGACTTATTTCATAATGCCGTTTTACATTTCACGTTCTTATATGCAAATCAGGGGGCGTGGCTACATCTAACATTCAGAACAGACAACAGAGCCGTGTGCAAAAGAAGGCTGGCTAAGGGACGTGAGTGTTGACATAATGGAAGACATCGGTGGGCTCCGAGGTAGCATGCTAGCATTAGCAGATCAAATCGATCAACATGGGTTTTCTGCAGATACGATTTTGACACATATTGAGGGATTTTTGGAAATACTAGGGCGGATAAGTGCTCTTCAAGATGTATACATAGACGACAAAGTTTTAACTTGTTTAAGACTGATTGAGCACCGCGTGCGTGTGGAAGAGGTCCAAGTTGAAGAAGTCAACATTGGCTGGCACTACAAGCACAGGTGCTGGACGCCCGCCTCTGAATCTTCCTGGATATTGGATTTCTCGGGTTGATAGACCGGACAACACAAAGTTAGCCAGCTTGTCGCCAGGAATATGGCTCATTTCCTCATTTATTTATTTCATGATGTATTTCAAATTCATATTTCATGTATTTATGTATTTATTCATTTATTTAATTTTGACTAAAACGGCATTCCATACTTTTCGGGCACAGCAGCATTTCATTACAGGGAAGGTTTACTACAAATTGTTTTTTAGTATAATGGGTGATGAGTTTTAACTCCTAAAAGTACGTGGGAACGTTGCTTATAAACATCCAGAGAGCAGGTATGAGCAGCCAGGTGACGTGTAACCAAGCCAACTGGTGATTGAAACATTTCATTTGAAGTGGAATGCGCATAAAGTATCACAAATAATCTCTCAATGCACGAGTAGTCACAGCGTGGAACAGTTGGTCGCAGCTTAGTGTGGATATAATGTCTTGCTAGTGTTTTCCCTTTAAATGACCAAACAACCAACATAGAACGTATTCTACGTATAATCTGTGTTGCTAAAGTATGATGTTGGTCATTAATCTGTAAATAAAAATAGTCCCCCAACAAATGCACTGCTTCCTCCTGTTGATAGAAACTAGTGTGCAGATGTTTTAGGAAATGCCCATCGAGGTCGAGGTCGCAAAGTATTGAGAGACACTAAAAACATCTCGCGCCTCCCAGCCTGGGATTCTTTCTGCTTTAATGTACAAAGTGAATTATCATTCAGTTCTTGTGCATCAAAGACAATAGCGCTTTCCCCTCATCTAATTTTAGCTTTGACCTCTTTGTTTGGCTGTGTTGCTTGTTTGATGCCAATATGGTACATTTTACACCTTTTCTTCTTCTACTAAACAAACTTCTTTCATTTCCCTGCTTTGGCTGCCGTAGACCTCCAGACCATTTACATCGTATGAAGCAATCAGCTGAGCTGTTCTACAGTTCCTCAATAAATCAATCACGTCAAAGGAAAACATATTTCAGGGCCTGTCCATTTGTTCGTCTACGAGAGGTTTTAAAAAGAGACATCAGGAATGATTTGGCCAAGATGTAGTGGAGGGAGCCAATATATAAAAATATGGTTGATTGGATGAGGGTGGGGATCTGGGTCTGGGATTTACTGTGAGATCATTTCTATCCTTTTAATAATATTGAATTGTGTCCGAGAGCTGTTCCGCATAAGTGGCGTTTTATGTTGAGCTGAGTGCCTTCTGGTTTCCACGTCTTTCAGAGGCCACAGCATTGAACTCCAGCATCATAACCGCTAAACCCATACATCAATCACTTGGAAAACAGGTCTTCAACAACAGAAGGGACGCTGATGATATGATGTGTGGGTGGGCGCATGTTTCAGAATGATAAACAGGAAAGCCCAGGATAAACAAAGGAGTGACTTGAATAACAAGAGGACCTTCAATAATTTGAAAATTGTCAGGTGAATAGACATCGCACCGTCGTGTAGACACATCCTCCCACTTCAGTGCTGCGTGTGATATGTGGGGAGAGGAAAGGACACGAGGCAAATATGAATGGAGGGAAGGCTGTATTGCTACCAAAAATGAGGCAAAAGGGGCATCTTTTCTTCTTGAATGTGCGAGCAGGGAGCACAAGGCCGCCCAAAGCGGTGTTGTTCTGGTGTTGTGTCTTTAATTTCAGCAGCAGGACATGTGGGCGAATAATTCAACACAATAAATAAATGTCCAGTAGGAGTTCTCACCATGTCTGTGTCTGAAACTGGTCCAAAGCTGGTGACGTAGATGTCTGTCTTCACCTCAGTTATCCTGTCTGGATAATAAAAAACAATGAGAGGCATCGACACACCAAAGGGGTTATAACGCTGCACAGAAAAGACAGTTAAGAGAAATAAAGTGGAGAATATGAGATTTCTTTTGACATAGTTTCAACTAAATATTTCTGAAAGAAACAATTGAACAATGAGTCTCCCTTTTAAGTTATTGTTGCGTCCCCTGACTTAACGATGTCTCTTGTTTGAGGAGAGAGCTCTGCCCTGCCGATTCCCTCCAGTCGCTGATGAGCCGAGCTGATCCCGCGCTCAGCAAAGCAGATATCACATATATCACCTCCTCCTCGGCCGCTGACAAGACTTCTTCTCTTTTCTGTTTTGCTGTGGGCGCTGTGTCCTCGGGTGGCTGGGATTTTGTTTGTAGGAGCTCTCTGACATTTGTTTTAACCTCCTTGTTCTCTCCTGTTTTTTTGACCAGGTAGTTCAGTATTGTTTCTGGTGGGTAAGCTGAACTATTTATTTTCTAGATGGTGGCCCTCGCCTGTGTTACGACCATATGGGCACTGGAAAAGGCCTCGACAGTTATGATGAGCTTCAAAAAACAATTTAGTTTAGTGACATCATCTCTTGTCTTGTAATGGGAATTCATTTAAATCGTCAGTGGCGGAGTAGGCCACTCACATCACCTCCAAATGCAGTGACTTCATTGTCTTACAAGCTCATTAGGGATGTGGGAAGTTACTGTTAATGAGAAGGCAACATTTCTGAATGCGGCTGCTTCTCATCAAAGCCACAAGAAGGCTTTTATTGTGAAGAAGTCACAGAAAAGTGCAATGCATTTGTATTTGCCGACAATAGCCCTGACAGACGTCGCTCATTGAGAACGCAGCCTTAAGAAGAAAGACACGGTCATTTTTAGGGATTAATATTGCAGCAAATAATGGAGCAAGAAGCTAGTGACACGCTGCACACCTCAGACTCAGAAGTGAATGGACTGGATTGGGCGGAAAACCATTTGCTTACAGCAGACTGTCAAACGGCCGTTATTGACTTTATTCTTTTTTTAAACCGCAAAACTTTTGGCTGCAATGCGAACAGGAACACCAGATGATCCTCTGTGGCATTCTGACAAAGCAGCTGCTCAACGTCTGTTTGCTGTTCACAGAAATATGCCGCCAAACACTGCTGACAAAGATGGCCCCAAAACAAGGAAAGAACCTGGGGTGCGCTTTGACCCGCTGCCGACAGGTGGGACGCCACACTTTGGAATATCCTTTGCAAACCGCCATCGAGAAAACACTTCACTATCAAACCGGGAGGAAAGTCCCAAAACGTTTCCATGTAAATAAATCCATCATTTCACAAACAGTTTAATTATTGTACTCAGGGTTTTACTCCGCCTAACAGCCCATGACTAATAACAGATCTGAAGTGGATAAATCCACAGCGTTTTGTTTTTTTTCCCCCTGAAAGTGATTCATTCGCCCTATCAGATGAGTTTTGTACGGACTTGGTTGACCTACACGTGAGCTGAGCGAGTGAATTCACATTCAGTGATAACTGAGCTGCGACTCAAAGCGCTCGTACGCTTCCTGCTCAAGCCGTAATTCTCTGTCTCTACAGTATTTCTTCAATATTTACTGAAGCTCCGTCTCTCGTGCACGGCCGATTCAAAAAGCCTTCGCGTTCGGCTGTGCACTACCATGCAAACAGCGTCTCACGTACAATCGGAGGGCTCGTTACTCCTCGGCAAAGTGCTCCCGTCTGCGAGCTGCCATTCAAGTCAAAACGGGAGATGTCATGGATGAAAAATGCTTTCTTATTTATAAGGTACTGTAATGTAAATCAAATGCAAGAGGCAGGTTGCCGGGTAATGGGTTCAATCCATTTAGCGAGACATGCGGCTGGGTGCATTTATTTATGTAAACCAGGCCGTTGTATTTGCACCGGGCTGATTTAAAATGATTAGGTTCTTACTATGGCTCACAGAGGCTGCTATTAGCAGGATTTATTTTGCAGAGAAATGCTCTTTGTGGAGCCACGAGTAAAAAACAAGAAAAAGAAAACAGGTTTGGCAGCAAAGGTTGTACCGCACTGCGTCTCCTTCCTGTGTGTTTTATCATGGGGGCGTGCTGTAACTCACGGGCAGTGTCACAAACTGTTCACTATAATGGTCCTTCTCATCACGTGTTGTCGTTTTCTTGAATTTTGTCCTGGAATGATTGCGTTAGTAGAACTTACTCACTATCCAAGAGACCCAAGAGGATATAATGCTTAGTGCCATGACCGTGGTCAGTCATTGTATGAATGTTTTACATACACAGTGTAACACACACCAGTAGATATATTGCATGACTGAATTCCACAAAATACTTTGATTAAAGAAACTATTGATGCTATGTTAGAAATAATAATTAATTTAGTCTTTCAGTCTTGGGGTTTTACCTTTTCTGACTTAGGGTATTTTTTATTACGGTACATTTATTTTCTTATTAAATTGTGCGTTTTCACCTAAATATTATCAAGTGTCATTTTTATACACTTAGTGCATTCCAAAGCTTTGCTCCACTGTTAAAAAAAACATCTATTTCTTATATATGTTTGTTGTTTTCTAGTTATTCAGCATATCCAAATGGGATCTGACCTCTTTTACTTGAATGAAGTGCTGTTTTCTCTTGGGACGGCCCAGAAGATAAGACAAAAATATTTATTGTGTGTTGTTGATCCCCAACAACAATAAATCTTTGTTGATGTTTGTTGATATAAGTACATAATCATTTAAAAACAAAAGGTATTCGCCTGAGCAGCCGCTTGGAAATGTGGCTTGGTCGTTGTTCTTTATGAATGTGCTTTTAAACAGTTTATATAAGCCTATACTTTTATATATTAAATAATTAAATTTCCTTTCAACCCTTTTTGCTGTATCACAGCAGGCCATAAACTAGAACTACCACCTCGCACCTTGAATTTATGCCTCCGCCAACCAGTCAGGGTACAGTTCACATCCATTGTCTGTCCAAAATGTCAATTCATCATTTTACCCTATAAAACAATTGTGTGCATCTATCAAGTTTTGTCGCCACATTGACCTTTGACCGCAAAATTTGAGCATTTCCATCATTGTGCCAAAGTGGCCGTTTGAAAATACTCTCCCTGTGCCTTCCTCAGATATTAAGTCCACTAGAATGGTACGATAGGATGACCTGAAAGCCTCGTGCCTCCGGCCGCAGCTGTGTGCAGCAGCATAAGAACCAGCACTCTGTACAAGTGCACAGAGTAAACAGGTCTGTAGAGAAACGAAATCCACCATCACATGAAGCTTCAGTCCATTTACAAAGCAAATCTAACCATATTCGTACTAATGCTGCATCCTCACGTTAGCAAACCTATAAAGGCACAGCCCTCGGGGACAAATCTCGGTTTACTGTTTAAAAACATCCAGAGTGGGTTTATTGCCGCAGGACGTCAGGACGCTTATTTACAGGAACAAGGAGAATGCCCAAAGTTCATTTATTCCGCAGCAGCAGCCATAAATGGCGTGCTTTTCCTGTCTTATATCAGACAGATGGTCCTGCTGAACCATGTTTCATAGGTCAGGATGAACTGTCTGTGTTAGGGGAGAGTGCGCCATGTAACGAACGCCATCTTAACTCTCGTCAGCGTGCAGGGAGATAAAGCGTCTCAGCAAAAACCTAATATTGATGGGTATCTGTAGATTTTTTTTCTTCGGTTAGTAGCATGACTATAATAATAGTTACCCTATATATAACACCAAGATCATAGATTAAAGAACCCACCAATTCAATCATTAAGCATCACATCATTCACAGTGCAAACAGCAGAACCATCAAATCAAACCCAACAACGGCGCGACAGCAAGAACGCACAAAGTCGCCATATTAGCGGCACAGTGAATATTAGACATACTGTATGTCACAATTACATCAGTCTCTATACGAGGCTGTTTGCAAACTATCTAGAGTACCAAAGGGTTGACGAGAGCTGGCGGCTGGGACAAAAACACAAAGTTTAACGCTGTCAAATCCTAAAAAAAAACATGACTGATGATAAGTACCTACAGAGATATTTGAGAATTATCTGTGTGGCGCCTTACATGCTAAACACAGATAATGCTTGAACACAAATATTGATTGGTGCAGCTTTCATTGTATCTTATTAATATTTAACTGTTAAACAAATGACAGAGATAGTTTTTGGAAGAAAAACATCCCAAACTATCTAGGCTTTCTAGGCTTAACAGTTTGTATTTGACTTTAATCTTTATATTTGTCAGCTGTTGTGGGAGAAACCCCTAACTAACAACAGCAGTTGTGTCCTCACGAAAAAATGAACAGCGTAAGTTGGAATTTGACATAATTTACAGCTGAGAGATAATGTATAGCTCTGAGCGTCAAGTCCTAGCTAGATGAGCTTTTTGAGGGGTGGAAAACAAATTAGTAACAGAAGTGTGAATATGAACAGAAGTGAGCTCCCTCGCAGTCACACTAATGATGATGTGGGAGCAACTGTGCTTCCTGCATTCAGTCTCTGTAGATTTGATTTTAGGGAAAGTGACAGAAACCAATTGCTGCATTTTAAAAGAGCTCGGTTTTGCCTTGACATGTGAAACAGATGACAAGTAGAGAAACGCTGGATCAAACCAGTTAGGGCCAGAGTTGTGTCCACAGTAGTTACAGTATAGGGTCTATATTGGAAGGGAAATAGTGTGTGTGTGTGTGTGTGTGTGTGTGTGTGTGTGTGTTTGTGTTCCTGGAGGCAATGGACCTGGTCAACCGGCTGAGGTTAGATTGTATTTTCTATAAATACATTCAAAGGAAACATGAAGCCAGAACCCACACAGAAGTTCATGGCTGAAACATTTACAGCTATTTGTTTTTTCGTCTTTTGCTGCTGAAACCTTCTAGCAGCCCCGAGGGGACACGTGGGTTCATCCTGAAAAACCTCTGCCCTAGATTCATCTTCTTCATCTTCACTGTTTGATTATCAGTGGAATCTGTAAAATGTTTCAACTCGCTCGCTGCAATAGGACAAAGCCGAGGGCACACATGGGCAGGTTTAAATGTTGTGCGTCTCAAACAAACCAATAACTCTGCCTTTTGGGAACAGTCTAATGCAATTCATGCCAACAGCCCTGCATCTGATTTCATTAAGCCTCAAACTGTGTCTGCGAGGTTGTAAGGGTTATTTTTGGGGTGCAGTTTGTGGTTTTGTTGTGGAGGATTCATTGCATTACATTACACAGGTGTTTCTGTTATTCTGTCCAGAGGAACGAGAGCGGCGGTGTGTCAGAGGACTTTGTATGTCTGTAGGTAATGTGTTGTAATGCTGTAAATAAACAATATTTGAAGATACAAATACACCACATGTATATGTATACATAAAAGCCCATATATAATCAAATCAAACATAAAACCAAAGCTTTTAGCTCTGTGAAGTCCATGTTTCTACTGGATCTCCTTTGGAGAATTTCAGTCAAAGAAAGAAATAAACACACTTTTCAGTGATGCAGGTTATTCATAACTTTGTTTCTAGAGATTTAAAATAAAAATAAGTTAGCTACATTTCTCAATTTTTCTGTCCGCGCTGTTTTGGTTCATGTGAGCTGCTTTAGCAGTCTTAGGCCCGCCCCCAAATGCTCTCATTGGTTGAGACAAGTGATTGCGCTCCTCCCAACCATTTTGAATGTCTATGTAGAAAAATAAATCTTTAGCATAACAAACACCTCAACTACTGAACACAGACTGTTTATGCTGCTCCCTAAAGAAATAAACACGGTTCTGCTGGTAATAGATTTCTAAACGTTAATGTTATGATTGTGGATGTTTTTCTGTAACAAACAAGATAAAAGATGAATGGCCCGTGAGTAGAATATAACTTGTTTTTATATTTTATTTGATTACATTAATGTTTAAGTTGTCATAGGCGCGGCACAGTAGGGTGGTGGTTAATACTGTTATTTAATGCTCTGGCACTGACAAATAGCTTTGGTCTTATATTTGATTTGCTTATATACATTTTCATTTTTTTATTTAATTAAGTTTAAGTAAGTAAGTAAGATTTACAGGAAGCCAGAGCAGACCACGCTGGGTGGTTTCGGACCCAAGACGTTCTTGCAGTGAGGCGACAGTATTAACCAGCACCCCACCATGCCGCCCCCTTTACACAGTAAAGAAGGTCCTGGGTCCAAATCCACCCAGCGGGGTCTCCTCCGGCTTCCTCCCACGCTCCAAAGACATAATCCGGGGGTCAGGTTAATTGGTGACTGTACATTGGTGTGGAATGAGTGACTGGTTGTCTGCCTCTGTGTCCGCTCTGCACCCCGTCTCTTGCCCGATGCTACCTGGGATTGACTCCAGCCTCCCACAGCGGCCCATAGAAGATAACTGACTGACTGTGTAAAGGAAGTACTGCTGTTAACAAACAACTTATTTGCTTTAGTTTATATATTAGTACGTAGTAGTAATACTTTTGAATTCATTATTACAATTTTAATCCCAGCACAGTACTACTGTATTAACTATTTGACTTTTTTTTGGAGTGGTACAGCCTCCTACTTAAACCATGACAACGGACTCTGATTCGCAGAACATAATGTTTGCCTCAGAGGAACACACTCATGCAGCTGTGCTGAACGTGTTGTAAACTAAGAATCAGTGAAGCGCTAACATGTTTTTTTCCCCTCACAGATGAGACAAAAGATCTAATGTGTCTACAATGTGTAAAGCTCCATCTGATGTCCCTTTCTAGTTCTTGGACAGAATTCCGCGCTCCTCGATGTTGCACTCGTGTACATTGATGGGTTACAGCGTGCTGCTTCATCTCGGGTGTTAGAAGGTTTGCTCCAGCTGGGGCCCACAGTAAAAGTGGATGTACTCGTGGTACTGCACGCCATAGGAAGGCTTTTCATTTAATGTTTTATACATATGTTTTGTCTACCTTTAAGACTACAAGTTCTCCAGAGTTGTCTGTTGGAGTGGAAATATTTTACTCAATGCAGTGCAAATCAATATAGTTTCAACGATTCAATCGTATTAGTGTATGATTGACTACAATTATTGTAAAAAAACACAAGCTTGAGCCAAACAAAACATGTCAAGAAAGATTACAATACTATTGTTTACATATCTGGGGAAGTATGAAGTACATATGGTGGTGAAAATTGTCATGAAATGTGAGCATTAAAGATCTTAAAGTAGGATAGTGAGCCACAGTGTTGTAATAGGCCAAACACGTCATCTGCTCCACAGTGAATAAGCTTGCAGCACCATCACTTTAAGTCCAGCTGTACAGGCTGAGCGCTGCCAAGCCAAAGGAGGTCTGCTCCCCATATGGCAGCTCCTGGACTGGGCTGATGGCCTCAGGAATTTGAATTTCAAATGGAAACAAATCCTGAGGGAGGAGTTCAGCTTTGGGGAGAGGAGACCAAGCATGGTGGATGATGGAGAGGCACACTTGGACGTCATGATTCTTACATAAGTATATATAAGTGTTGTCACTCCACACAAGCAATCGACCATTTAAAAAAAGAAACATGCTTTTTCATAATAAATGGGAGAGCAAATGTTAGATGTTAGCGTCATAGCAAATCAGTCAGATTTCACCATTTGGAATCCAGCAGATTTTTTAATTAAATTAACGCTGACCGTTGTGTAGATAGTGACTTACAACGTGCAACTTTTACGCTGTAAGGCTCCTGAACCATCTTCAAATATTACATTCGCTCACAAATGTGATCATTTCTGGTCGTTACAAAACCATCTTGCTACATTTCACTCAAACTGAAACTTCAAAATGATGTAATCCAAACTAAAATGTATCAATGGATGTTAGAAGAATCCACTTTGTTCCAACATCTTTGCATTTTGACATCACTTCCACCATGTGCCTACAGCCAAACCAGCATTACAACCATGCAGCTCAACCAAACTGACACTGAACCTGCTCTTTATTTCCTCTTTTTTCTGACACATTCAGCTGGGTTTGTAGGTGCCAGCGAGGATGCAGCCAGGAAGTGAAGTGAGTTTCATGTAACCTGATTGTTTTGTGCAATGAGTGTGTTTGTCAGTTTATTCTTGAAGGGATTGTTGCAAAAGGTCCTTCGTACCACAAATATGATGTTAAATGAAGTGTTCTCACTCCACACGAGCAATCAAGCGTTTAAAAAACATTATTTCCTTACCACCAAAGCCTGGCCGTAGACGGTTGTCATATCCATCCAGCAAGCTGTCCAGGATGCGTGTGAACAGGGTGATGTTGGTATTAAAGGCATCCGATGTGGCATCGGCATTCACTGACCTGATCGACAGATACACAATAACAGCATGACCACCTACACAGGATTTTGTTTTATTTTAAATTTATTCAAAACTCATAATTGTGCTTTCCACCAAGGCACAATGTATTGGGGAAAAAGGGGTCGTTATTATCTGGCAGACACTTCATACATGCCCACACAGAGACGCACACACACACAGACCCAGTGTTCCTCATCCACATGATGACCCAGTTCAAAGCAGAACGTTTGTGAGCCATCTGATCTTGGAGCCAAAACACAACTGGATATGCAAATGTAATCAGAGCTAGAGTTCCATGGCAAATTAATTCAGATCAGATTCTACATTAAAGATTGACATATTCACCACTGATGAAAGCTCTGGTGCAAAAGCCACAGGTTAGAAGGCATATTTCACTTTAAGCAGGGGATCTCCATACAATATTAATCATTTTACACATCTGGGTATATTCTGTTTGGAACACATTGCTCTAATTACTATCAGAGAAATTTAGCCTGCATACAGTGTTTTAACATTCTTATGTACTGTCCTTGGTTATAACCTAATAAGAGGAATATTTAATGATTTTATTTGTAGTACAGTATGTTCACCTACATATTACATCCATATCAGCACAGCCAGCTGTTTTTTTTGTGTCGTGGTGCCGTTAGCATCAAACTTGCATTAGCATGTGTGATAGAATACTAATTTAAACCTTCACATTAATCCCTAAACATCAGGCGATATTCATTTCTCTGTGTTAACATTAACATGCTAACGTTAGCTGTAGAACTAGCTTGTTTACTCAGCATTAGCTAAACAAAATAAAGTCTGTTTGCATAGCGTTAATATTCTGTAGAGAACGTACATAAACTCACACATACATGATACTTCTTTGCCTTATTGTGAGAATGAATCATGTCGTTTTCATGCACGCTGGTTGAGAAGATTGAAATACAAGACCTTGAGATGTTTCACTAACCCATCGCTAAAATGGTTGCAAAGCGAGCCTCAGTGTAGGCCTGTAATACTTCAGCATACAAGAAATTACTTTACTGTTATCTACACCTGCGTTTTTAACAAAGTGACGTTTCAAAATGTATTCCGGGAAAAACTCTTAAATAGCCAAGCAGTTCACGATGGACCGTATTTAAGAACAATATAGGCCACTGTACAATGGCTTTATGGATTTTGTCTTTTTATTTAAATTGCCTCCCATGCCTCTGACATCATTTGTTTCATTCTTTTGTCGACTGTCATCTAGTGCGAGCTCTCAAGTGGCCTGAACTGTCACTCCCAATTGTCTCTCCAAAGACACCTTTGCACCTCATGTGATAATGTGAGATGTCTGCAGATCAAGGGTGTAGCAAAAAGGAAGGTGGTGACACGTGCTTTTTTTTAAAGCAATGTTTCAATTTCAAGTAGTTAGGCCTCATATATATTTTTGTCAATACCATGTATTGATAGATGCATTCTCTTTTAAACATAAGTCAATCTTCAAGAATCATAGACTGGTTTTGGCTATTATCCTTACATTACGGTAATACCAGGTTACAGATAATAAGTGTAATATCTAATAACCGTTACCCAGTATGGATTTTTTAGGCCTATTAGAAACTATCCATGCAATAGGCTGTAGGTAATTCATGCTCTTCATGCCCTGCGGGTTGTTTTATGATCAGACTGCGGACCTGCTCACTCTCCTCCTGCGCATTGACCGTCCGCGGATAATGAGTCCGCTGTGATAACAAACATTTAAAAAAAATACTTGACAAATGGACACCTCCAGTCCCACCGGCCCCCGGCACTCCAGCACAAGGCCGCTGCGAGGCGTCCCCCGTCCCCCTGAAAACCACTCACCTGGTTCTCCAGAGAGCCGTGAGCGCCAGCAGGCAGACGCGCAGCAGAGCGGCGCTGCCGGAGCTCCGCATGGCGGCTCCCGACGCCTACACAGCGCGGCGGCGGCTGCAACGAACCAGGGCCAGAATTTAGACCTCATACGTGACCCGCGGAG